CAGAATAGATAAGACCTAGTTACAATTGTACAACAAACTCTTTGGTGTATAATGGTATCATTTAGAAGAGAGTGGCACATATTCATTGTGAGTTCTAGTGGACAGAGTAACTGGGGCTGTCTGATACAGTTACGAACTTGGTGGAAGAAGTGAGTGAAGTATTCCAACATTGAAAAACAGTATGGCAATTATGTTGGAGAAGATACTTGTCTTAGCTCAGGCTGCTATAACAAAATACCACAGACTGGGTGGTTTAAACATTTATTTCTCAGTTTTAGGGGCTGGAAGTCTGAGATAAGGTGCTGGCCAGTTTAATTCCTAATGAGGGCCCTCTTCATGGCTTGAATACAACCACTTTCTCTCTCTTTCCTCCTGTAGTAGGTGAAAACATGAGCTCTAGTCTCTCTTTTTTTTTTTTAATTTTAAAGATTTTATTTATTTATTCATGAGAGATACAGAAAGGGGGTGGGGGTTGGCAGGCGGAGAAGCAGATTCCATGCAGGGAGCCGGACGTGGGACTCGATCCCAGATCTTCAGGATCACACCCTGGGCCGATGGCAGTGCCAAACTGCTGAGCCACTGGGGCTGCCCTCTAGTCTCTCTTCTTATGAGAATATTTAATCCCATCATGGAGGTCCCACTCTCTTGACCTCATCTAAACCTGATTACCTCCCAAAGGCTCCACCTCCAAATACCATCACTTTGAGGCTTAGGGCTTCAATATATGAATTTGAGGAAGAGACACAAACAGTCCATCACAATACTTAACCTTTTTAAGCCCTAATTTTATTATCTTTAAAAATAGAAATAATATTTACTGATTCATAAGGTGTTCTGAGATCATGCATGTGTATATGCTTAAGAATTTGGTATATGGTGGGGCGCGTGGATGGCTCAGTTGGTAAGCATCTTACTCTTGATTACGGTGCAGGTCATGATCTCAGGATCCTGAGATGGAGCTCCCGCTCTGCTTGAGATTCTCTCCGCATTTCCTCTTCCTATGCCTTTAAAAAGAATTAAGAATTTGCTACATACTAAGTTCTCAAAAAATTAGATGCTGGTACTGTGATGATTAACATATTTCAGGGATGTGCCAGAAGTGCTTTTGGTATTTGTTGAAAGTCTCTACTCAGTAAATACTTTCAGTTCTAAGAATCAGTTAATGATTTGATTTGTGCTTGTGAGCCTGAAGATAGGGGTGCTGCTCTGTGAACATCCTTCAGTTCCACATTGTTTTTTCTGTATAGGCATCTTTATGTCCTTCTGCTTTCTGATTATGTATGTATTCTTATTCTGTCTTTGCTTTTTTTTTCTGAATTTTCATCTGTCTCTTTCTGTGTCCCTCTCTCTTGTTCTCAGTCCCTGTCTGTTCTTGAATTTATTTTCTCTTCTGTTTTTTTTCTCACCACTGACTATAATGAATAATTTACAGTGTATATTATTTTGCTATATTTTTAAATCTTTGTTTTAATTCAAACGGTATTATCTTCAGTGAGGTGTATCCTCGACATGTGACTGGGTTACTTGATTATCTTTCTGCCCCTGTCCTGCTTTCCCAAGTGTTGAACAGGACAGGTATCAGGCCTGAATTTGTTCTTACTTGGCTTTATTATGGGTAGTGCTGGGGTGGACATGTAGGAGTGAAGTTTTGTGGTGCTAGATAATGCTTTAAAAAGAAGTTGTTTAGGGATGCCTGGGTGGCTCAGCGGTTGAGCATCAGCCTCTGACTCAGGGTGTGATCCCGGAGTCCCTGGATCGAGTTCCGCATCGGGCTCCTCGCAAGGAGCCTGCTTCTCTCTCTGCCTATGTCTCTGCCTCTCTCTCTGTGTCCCTCATTAATTTAAAAAAAAAAAAAAAGCTGTTTAATGTTATCATGCATACAACAATTAGTTGCTTTTCCTCCAAACCTAACCATGAGGGAGCCTGGTCCCCCAGGTTAGAATGCCCCTCGTTGTGGAAATATGCCCCTCATTCCCAGGTTAGTGAATGTTACAGCAGCAGGACTCCCTTTACTTTGGTTTTCCCAGCCTTCATAATATAAACAGAATTATTTTATATCTGCTAAGAGGAAACCAGTCATTTGATAACCTATATTTTTCTACATTTAGCAACTGGCATGTACACAATAGGCTTTCTTGTATAACAGCACATCTTTTAACCATGGTAATTAAAATAATTTTGAATAGATAATAGTTATACTTAATTATGGATCTTATTAGAGCCTCTAGTTGATGTAAGCTCATTACATGATTAGTTTATGAGACTTGTTTTATGGCTGAATTGGAGATGCTTGAAGTTACCATTTTTTGGTTTCTTTTAAGAAAAGAATATGTGTAATTATAAGTTATGAAATTTTTAAAAATTTGTAATAAAATTCTTTAATTGCTACCCATCTGTCAAGCAGTAATACAAAGATTGGCTATATTTGTTGTGCTTATTAACATACATGCTGTAATAAGCCAAAAGCATGTTGTGAACATATATTACTTACAGAATATGAACGTAATACATGCAACAACCTGGATGAATCTCCATAGCAATGTAAGTGGGAAAAGGCAATCACAAAAGATTATATACCGTATGATTCCATTTGTATAACTTTCTTAAAAATGACAAAAGTAACAGAAATGAAGAACCAATAAGTGATTACCAGGGATTAAGGAGAGAGTGATGGAAGTGGCTGGGTGTGGCTTATAAAGTCCAGTATGATAGATCTTTGTGATGATGGAAATGTTTTGCATTTTAACTGAATCAATGTTGATATCCTGATTGTGATATTGCACTAGAATTTTGCGAGGTGTTGCCATTGGGGGAAGTTGGTTTAAAGGATACATGGGATCTCTTTCTATTATTTCTTAAAACTACATGCATGGGAGTCTGCAGTCACTGCAAAATAAAAAGTTAATTTTAAAAAATGAGTTGTAATATGAATATTCTGATGAAACAATATTTCCTCCCTACACATTTCTTTTTTTCCCTTATTATTGATGGCTCACTTGATCATGATTCCTTTATTCACTGAAGAAATCATTATTGAACACTTGCTTAATTTAGCAAATTAGATAAAATGAATTACTCTAGGGCAGCCCAGGTGGCTCAGCGGTTTAGTGCCACCTTCGGCCCAGGGCCTGATCCTGGATCCCATGGATCGAGTCCCACGTCGGGCTCCCTGCACGGAACCTGCTTCTCCCTCTGCCTGTGTCTCTGCCTCTCTTTCTCTCTCTCTGTGTCTCTCATGAATAAATAAATAAAATCTTAAAAAAAAAAAAAAGAATTACTCTAAAACCAAAATCACACCAACTTGTAACTGTTTTGTAAAGGATACTACCTCATTTAGTAGTAAGGTTTGCAGCTCGTTTACATCCTCAAAGTCATCTCTTCTGTAGATATATTTCGAGGCCACGATAACATTAGCTTTAAAATATTCAAAAGTGTTTTTCTAGGTTAAAATTATAATGGTGTAAAACTGATAGGTCTTGATGACATGTTCATCTCTGTATAAGAGGAGAAAAAATGTTGAGTGGAATCTGGGTACTGCCAGCAGGCACTCACTCATCTTTAAGGAGATGGGGGAATTTCTCTGGAGGCAGATGTCCTGGAAGGCCCCAGAGTTTTCCTGATGAAGTAACATTCTTTCTCTCAGTTTGGCTTTGGACTTCTGACAACACAGAATATGATGAATATGAGCTCTAGTTACTTTTCTGAGCATGTGACTTTGAGCTTAAGGCTCCTGAAAAACTGAGTTTAAAGAGACAACCGTACTTGTGATGAATGACTTGGGGAATAATCTGTCTGTTCTCTGAGTAAAAGTTGGCTTCTGGATTAGCCAGAGCTGTGGAGGATCTCTTGTTTAGTCTTTGTCCCTCCTGTCCCCAGGAGAATGACTTGCTGAATTGTGCTTTGACATAATACTAAGGGTATCAGTGTCTAGTGAATGAAATATGGTGTGGTATTTGATAACTGGAGATAAGATTTTACGACCTTAAGACTGGAGAAGACCTGTTTTTTTCTAATTAGTAAAAGAGTTGAGGGAGATTCAAGGAGACTTCCCCGCTGATCCTCAACACATACTATATGGTGGGCTCCCCAACTTGTCGGTCAGGTAAAACAAAACAAAACAAAACAAAAAACAGTCCCTGGCTATAGCCACATGGCTGTGGGGCACAGAGGAAGTGTTTCCTCTTGTCCTTCAGCCCTGTCAGGTGCACACTCCTGTCTTTCTTTGACCCTTTCAAAGGAGGAGTTCTTTATAGCCTAGTGGTTCTGATTTTGACTAGTTAATTATGGTTGAGCCTTTTTTGTGCTTTATAGAACATGAAAATGTTCCAGTGAGTTGAGTTGTGTTCAAGTATTGAGGGATTTTCAATAAAAGTAATGTTATAAATAGGTTAGGCTAATCTACCTCACCCAGGTTTGTTTGTTTTTTTTCACCCAGGGTTTATTTAACCTAACACGTCTCTGAACCATATTCTATTAATAGTTTCATAGAAAACGCATTTCACTTGTTTGTCTTCGTAGAAACAACCTGTTCTCCGATTTCTTCTGGAGGCGGTCATTGGTCATTTTTTCTGCTTGGCTGCTGTGGTCAGTGTGAATGCAGTTGCCCCTCATTCCCAGGGCTCTTGGGAAATAGGGCAGTGGTGGTAGTCTGTGTTCTTTGGTGGTTCTGTGCAGATTCTAAACTTTAGGGGGAAATTTCCCATACTGGCAGCTGGCAGGATCCGTGATGATGGAAAAGTAAAAGGAACTTACGCATGTGCGAGGGCCCTGGCTGGGACAGCCTCTCAAGATACAAAAGAGGACCACATCTGATTTTGTTCTTTGCATAGAAATGTGTAAAAACAGTGGTAGCATGAGACTAATTGGTTCGAAATCAGCAAGGTTAATAATAATATGTAATATGATAAATGTGCAATATACTTTCAAGTATTAGTGTTTTTTCTCTGTCATTAGATTCACATTCATTGTTCTATCTTACCTAATTTTTTTTCTTGTTATAGTTTCAAACCATGAATTATGTAGGACAGCTGGCTGGGCAGGTGATTGTCACTGTGAAGGAACTCTACAAGGGCATTAACCAAGCCACTTTGTCTGGGTGCATCGATGTCATTGTGGTGCGGCAGCAGGATGGCACCTATCAGTGTTCACCTTTCCACGTTCGGTTTGGGAAGCTGGGGGTCCTGAGATCCAAAGAGAAAGTGGTAAGTGCAGAGGACAACTTGTTCTCAAGGAGGGTGAAAGATTACATAATAAGATAATAAATTGTTCTTTTGTGCCCTCTGGGCTTTTTTTGGGTGGAAGGGGAGGTGCCCTGTATGATGTTGAAGGTAATGGTCTGAGAAGTCAGCCTTTATGTATTGTTTTGAAATTGCTGCTGAATATAAGCCTTGCTATAGAAAGTCTCTCCAAGAGGGAGAAAGGCTGAAAATTATCTTGATAATCTTATCTGTTGCAACTCAGAAGAACAAAATAGAGAAACTGAGATTATAAATGGAAAAGGTTAGATGTCTTTAGAAAATTTCTTTACCTTATACAGCGCTTTAAAGTATTTAGGGCAGTGCCTTTGTACCATTTGTGAATGGAATAGACTGATGTAATCAGGAATACATTACATTTATTTAAACAAAATTAATGCTAAATTTGTTTTGACAAAGCTGTTAAATCTTATTTGTATCTAAATTTTGTTAATGATACCAGGACTTGTCTCCGTATCTTACTAAATGCAAACCTACAGGCCATAGGCTTATTGGCTTTTATTTACTTTGGGGAAAATTCATTCAGAAAGAAAATAATTTGTGTTGGTTTGCCTTTTTCCTACATCCTCTCTCCTTCAAGTAATGCAGCAATGGGAAGACTTGTTAATGTATTTGCTGTCAGTCGAATTAGAATTCTGAGCTGGGGGATCCCTGGGTGGCGCAGTGGTTTGGCGCCTGCCTTTGGCCCAGGGCGCGATCCTGGAGACCTGGGATCGAATCCCACGTCGGGCTCCCGGTGCATGGAGCCTGCTTCTCCCTCTGCCTATGTCTCTGCCTGCCTCTCTCTCTCTGTCTCTCTCTCTCTCTCTCTCTGTGACTCTGTGACTATCATAAATTTAAAAAAACTATCTGTGACTATCTGTGACTATCATAAATTTTAAAAAAATTTAAAAAAAATTAAAAAATTCTGAGCTGGTATAATAAAACCTTGTAGGTACATAGTAGTAATTTTCTTTCTACTCTACCCCACATGATCTACCTGAGCAATATAGGGAGATTTTGTCAGGATTTTAAAGCACGATGAAAGATCCACACCATATTGGAGCATAGAACTATATGTTAGAGGACCACTGGCATAAGTTGGAAACATCTATTTTCAGATTTTGGCTATTTTACATAGGCAATCTTATTCTTTAAAATAGAAGTTTCTCTCTATTTTAATTAAACTTAGGTTATTTGACAGTGGAAGAAAATGTTCATGAATTTTCACACAGCTAGTTATCCTCCCCGCTGCCAAAACACATCTTTTTCTTTTAGGTGTTATAAATCAGTTTTCCACTGGAGAGCCACGTTGCCAGGTGGCAGGGTTTGTGAGGTCTGGCCTGTGTTCAGTCACCCTTTGGAAACCAAAACCAGTTGCAGTTCTTTTAGTAACTTGGAAACATTCCATTGCAAAAGAGTGTTCAGCCACAGGTTAGCTTCTTGGAATTTTTTATTTCTTGCCAGTAACACTAACCTGTAGTACTTTCAGACTTTATTTGCTCTAGGAGAATCTGTACCAGACTCTTTATGCACTGAAACTTGCCATGAGCTGTGCAAAGATTGATTCATAAAATGGCTGATATGGCACTTTTGTTTTTCTGTGATCTGAGTTTTTGATCAGCAGATTAGTTAAGTCTTCTGGCCTTTCAGAATGGAATCTGCAGGCTAACGTATATGGGAGCATTTGTGTATCTGTAAATAGTGTCTGGACAGACAAACCTCTTTCTACATGATCTTTGCCTCTAAGAGGTACAGTGTCTGTACAAGGCTGCCCAAATGATTGGGTTAAATACCTTATCAAACTCTTGGATTTTAGAGATGCCTGGGTGGCCCAGAAGTTGAGTGTCTGCCTTGGCTCAAATCATGATCTCAGGGTCCTGGGATCGAGTCCCACATTGGGCTCCCTGCAGGGAGCCTGCTCCCTCAGCCTGTGTCTCTCATGAATAAACAAATCTTAAAAACCAAAAACCTTGGATTTTAATAGGAATCTATCCATGAGACATGGGAAAAGAGAAAATTACTTCTTGGCAATAGTATCCCAGAAATCCAAAAGGATATATTTGGGAGGAAATTTGGCTATTTAACCAAAACACAGCTTTCCTATGACAGTAAAACTGAAACCTTGTCTCCCTTGAGATACTCAGGCAATTTGGATTAACTCTTATTTTAGGTCAGTTTGGATTAGGGCAAGCTATTCATTGATTTTTAAACTAAGACCCTAATTATGGTGACACCTATGAAGTGGTAGACTTGGACTTGGAATCATAATCACCTTAAAGCCTCTGGTTAGGGAGTTAAGAATATACTAATTTTCCCACTGCCATTGATCTGTTCTATCAAATAGGACACAATATTCCCAGTATACTTCGTAACTCAGGAATTGAATTTCAGAAGGTAAACCTGCAATTGATACTTTTTAAATATTAATTTTGTTCATTTAACACAAAACTAATGATTTACTTACTTACTGAAGTTAAATAACCCAGTGTATTAGACAGGAAGTTTCCACTGTAGGTGACAAAAGTCCACCTTGCATTAGCTTAAGCAAAAAAGGGAATTTATTGGCTTGCATAACTAAAGAGCATTTGAATCTAGGAGCATTTGAAGTTATCAGGGCTTTATTTAGAATCTGAGGGTGTTACCAGAACTCTTATTCCTCCCACCTCTCAGCCCTGCCTCCCTGTGTGTGTGTGTGTGTGTGTGTGTGTGCGTGCGCGCGCATGCGTGCACGCGCATACGCTCTCTGATGCAAGATGCCACAATACCTACAGACTTACTTCCCAGGAACTCAGCAACCCTAGTAGAGACCCGTTTCTTCCTACAGAAGTGTCAGTCTTTAGCCTCCCTGTCAGACTTGGGTCACATATATCTTGCAGAGCAGTCACTATAGCTGGGGTGGAATATACTGATTGGCTTGGCTTAGACAGCAGCCCAACCTCCTTACTGTGAAGCCTCACCTGAAATAGATGGTCTGAAATAGAGGATGACTAGATCCCTAGAGGACTCCCCTTACCTAAAGAATGACATGCCAGAACAGGGGCCTGCTACAGCCAGTATTTTTTTCTTTTCTTTTTGAGATTTTATTTATTTTAGAGAGAGAGCACTGGCAGAGGGAGAGACAGAGGGGGAGAGACCATCTCAGACTGACTCCCCACTGAGCATGGAGCCCAAAGTGGGGACCCATTCCAGGACCCTGAGATCATGATGTGAACTGAAATCAAGAGTTGGCAACTTAACCGCTTAAGCCACCCAGGCGCTCCTACAAGCCAGTAATTCTAAAAAGTAAATCAATTCTGTTTCAACATCTCAGTCATATATGTTGAACAACTTTAAGCTACAGGGTAGGAAATATGACTATATAGATGAGAGTATTGTTTTAGATACCAGGTTACAAGGTACATCAAAATGAGTATGCCAGATTTCCACTGCTGTCATCTTTTTGTCTGTGATCCTATCCAGGGTCTCTCATTGCTTTCACCTATATTCTCTAACCATTCTGTCTTTACTTACAACCTTGATTTTTGAAGAGTACAGAAGAATACAGATAGTTATTATGTAGATTATCCCTCAGTTTGTTTGTCTGATGTTTTTTCATTTGGGGAAGAATAACAGAGTGATAGTATGCCCTTCTCAGTGCATCATCTCAGGAAACCAGTCATGGTGCCATGTCTGATTACTGGTGACGTTAACAATGTTGGTCCCTACGTCGATAGTGTGTGCTGGGATTCTCCACTATGAATTTCTTTGTGGGAAGAAACTTGGGAGACTTGCACCCGGTTTTCTATCATACTTCCACCCAAGAATTTTACCATACACTGATGAATCAGCAGGCAACAATTATTACTGGGGTGTTTGCTAAATTATTATTACTGTGGTGTTTACCAAATCATTTTCCATCCTTCCTAGTGCATTTATTAATTGAAATACTACTGTATCAAAAAGTATTCCTTCTCTCTTGTTTATTCAATTATTTAAATCAGTATGAACTTCTGAATGTTAATTTTACTCTGTGAGTTATAATCTGTTATTATCATTATTTAGTTGCTCACATTGTCCTGAGTTTGGTTCTTCAAATTGAGTCTTTTGAAAGGCTCTTGTCATTTTTTAAGCAGTTCTTTATTTTTTGGCACCATAAGCTATTCCAGAAGAATCTACTTTACCTGTAGTTATTTTGTTTCTCTGAGGAATGGTGGTTCCTCTTAATAGAGAATACTATCTAGAAACAAAGAATCTAGTCACTAGATGTGCTCATTACTAATTAAGGTGTCATTGCTCCTAGGACTTGTCATTGGGCAGAGCTGGAAAAATCTACAGAGATACACACACCTTCATCTGTAAAAATCATGAGTTCCTACTGATTCCAATTTATCACCAGACGGTTCCTCTTCATCTCCTTATTCGTAACTTATCTCTCTGACAATGAGAAACATGCCTCTTGTTATCTACAATATGTTTACTTATTAAGTCCTAGAATACAGACAAAATAGTTTCAGAACTGCTAACCCTTACCTCTGATTTTTTTTTTTTTAAATTACTACAGGATTGGTTTGTACTTCTTTTTGTCTTTAGACTTAGAATATTTAGTCAAAATACCATTTTCCACTTAGATTAGTTTTCTTCCTTATCCTTCAGTGTGGTTATATTCCTTATCCTTCAGTGTGGTTATATATATAGGATTTTTATAACAAGTATTTCAACAACATATGTCAACTAATGACCTCCAATGATCTGATGTGACCCAGCACTCAGTGTCAGAAGGGATAATTGGTCCTCACTGGGAAAAACCCAACAGACCATGCAGTTGTTCTCACCATAGGGGCCTTGCAAAGCTAAGTACACTTAGATTGTGGACAGCTCTATTAATATCTATATTAGATTTTTCTGTATTTTAGTTTTTATGTCCCCTGAACCAGTCTTAACTGGAGTTTACAAGTTTATCTGTAAGAGTTTTGAAAGTTGGGGACCACCTAGGTAGCTCAGTTAGTTAAGCATCTACCTTCGGCTGAGGTTATGATCTCAGAGTCCTGGGATTGAGCCTCATGTCAGGTTCCATGCTCAGCAAGGAGTATGTTTCTCCCTCTGACTCTCCCCTGCTCATCCTTGAGTGCTTTTGTGTATTGTCTCTTTCTCATAAAAAAAAAAAATCTAAAAAAAGTTTGGAAGTTAATATTCATTTATTATAAAGTATTTAAAGGTATTCACAATCTACAGATGAATAAATTACATTATTTTTAACTGGTAAGTAGTTAATATTCTATGTAAACAGTTCTTTGCATGGTAGTACAAATCATTGACATGACTGAGCAAGCTGAAACCATGCAAAGCAAACTTAATAATTGAGAAAAATTAGGGTGTTTCTATGATTTTTACAAACCTTTAAACATTTCTGTCGGTTATAAATATATAAGAATGAAAAATAGTAAAATGATGTTTACTATGTCACAATTTAAAACATTAGAAACTTGGAGAACTAAAGTGTCTTATTTCTTTTTTTTTTTTGTTTTTTTTTTTTGTTTTTTTGTTTTTTTTTTTTATAAATTAATTTTTATTGGTGTTCAATTTACCAACATACAGAATAACACCCAGTGCTCATCCCGTCAAGTGTACCCCTCAGTGCCCGTCACCCATTCACCCCCACCCCCCACCCTCCTCCCCCTCCACCACCCCTAGTTCATTTCCCAGAGTTAGAAGTCTTTATGTTCTGTCTCCCTTTCTGATATTTCTCACACATTTCTTCTCCCTTCCCTTATATTCCCTTTCGCTATTATTCATATTCCCCAAATGAATGAGAACATACACTGTCCTTCTCCGGTTACTGTGGCCAAGTTCAAAAAGGGTGTTGCCTGAGTTCTTCTCTGGGATTTTGATGGAATCTTGTCTCACATTTAGATCTTTCATCTATTTTGAGTTTATCTTTGTGTATGGTGCAAGAGAGTGGTCCAGTTTCATTCTTCTGCATGTGGATGTCCAATTTTCCCAGCACCATTTATTGAAGAGACTGTCTTTCTTCTAGTGGATCGTCTTTCCTCTTTTATCGTATATTAGTTGAGCATAAAGTTCAGGGTCCACTTCTGGGTTCTCTATTCTGTTCCATTGATCTATGTGTCTGTTTTTGTGCCAGTACCACACTGTCTTGATGAACACAGCTTTGTAGTACAACCTGAAATCTGGCATTGTGATGCCCCCAGATATGGTTTTCTTTTTTTTAAAATTCCCCTGGCTGTTTGGGGTCTTTTCTGATTCCACACAAATCTTAAAATAATTTGTTCTAAGTCTCTGAAGAAAGTCCATGGTATTTTGATAGGGATTGCATTGAACGTGTAAATTGCCCTGGGTAACATTGACATTTTCACAATATTAATTCTGCTAATCCATGAGCATGGAATATTTTTCCATCTCTTTGTGTCTTCCTCAATTTCTTTCAGAAGTGTTCTGTAGTTTTTAGGGTATATTTTGAGAACCATTTGAATGGTAAATGGTTCTCCAACCTTTTATTTTCAGGTTGTAGGTGTCCTTCTGTCTAAAATGAGTCTCTTGTAGACAGCAAATAGATGGGTCCTATTTTTTTATCCAGTCTGAAACTCTGCGCCTTTTGATGGGGTCATTAAGCCCATTCACGTTCAGAGTTACTTGAACTTCTTCTTAAAGGGGAGTTTTAAGAGTCCCCCTTAAAATTTCTTGCAGAGCTGGTTTGGAGGTCACATATTCTTTCAGTTCCTGCCTGTCTTGGAAGCTCTTTATCTCTCCTTCCATTTTGAATGAGAGCCTTGCTGGATAAAGTATTCTTGGTTGCATGTTCTTCTCATTTAGGACCCTGAATATATCCTGCCAGCCCTTTCTGGCCTGCCAGGTCTCTGTGGAGAGGTCTGCTGTTACCCTAATATTCCTCCCCATGAAACTCCCCATAAGGATCTTCTCTTTATCTTTGGAATTTGCAAGCTTCACTATTAGATGTCGAGGTGTTGAACGGTTTTTATTGATTTTAGGGGGGGATCTCTCTATTTCCTGGATCTGAATGCCTGTTTCCCTTCCCAGATTGGGAAAGTTTTCAGCTAGGATTTGTTCAAATACATATTCTGGCCCTCTGTCCCTTTCGGCGCCCTCGGGAACCCCAATTAAACGTAGGTTTTTCTTCCTTAGAGTGTCATTTATTTGCCTTAATCTGTCTTCATGGTCCCTTAATTGATTGTCTCTTTTTTCCTCAGTTTCCCTCTTTGCCATTAACTTGTCTTCTATGTCACTCACTCGTTCTTCCACCTCGTTAACCCTCGTCGTTAGGACTTCTAGTTTGGATTGCATCTCATTCAATTGATTTTTAATTTCTGCCTGATTGGATCTAAATTCTGCAGTCATGAAGTCTCGTGAGGCCTTAATGCTTTTTTCTAGAGCCACCAGTAGCTGTATAATGGTGCTTCTGAATTGGCTTTCTGACATTGAAGTGTAATCCAGATTTTGTAACTCTGCGGGAGAGAGGGCTGTTTCTGATTCTTTCTTTTGAAGTGAGGTTTTCCTTCTAGTCATTTTGCTCAGTGCAGAGTGGCCAAAAACAAGTTGTATTGGAACACGGGGGAGTATCACTGGTCCCTCTAGCTGGTCTTCTGGGGGAGGGGCCTGCTGTGCTGATTTTCAGGTGTTAGCACTTGGGGGAGCTGCTCTGCCCCTGCCTGCTGCAGGGCTCAGCGGGGGTTGTTTACCCCGTGGGGCCCCAGGAGGAACAGCCGCAGTGGCTATGGCAGCTCTGGAAGCCTGGATTCAGCCTCCGCAGGAACTACGGGGCTCGGGGCTCTCGGCTCTCCGTCCGCAGGGCCTGGAGGCTCCGGGGCGGGGCCGCTGATCTGCTCAGCTCGGGGCAGGAGCGTCCTCGCTGTCTCGGGCCCTCCCGGCCTCTGCCTGTCCCGGGGGAGGCCGGATCCTGGGCTGTGTCCCGGCGCCCTGTGCTCCGGGGCCTGCGCTGGTGGATTCGCGCTCCTGCCCCGCAGCCCCCTCCGCGGAGCCGCCGCCCGAGCCCCTCCGAGCTGCTCCGGTCGGTCCCGCCGTGCGCGCTGCAGCCCTTAGGGAGCTCGGAGCACTCTCCCGGGGCGCAGGTGTCTGTTAGTGTCCCAGGGAGCCCGAGGGCATCCCCGTCCTCCTGGGTCCTGCTCCACCTCCCTGCGAGCCCCTTTCCGCCCGGGAAGGTTGGTGCAGCTCCTGCTCCTCCGGGACGGGGCTCTCCTGTCCTGGGGACACTCGCTCCGGCCTCAGCCCGGTTCCTCGCGGGGCCCCTCCCCCTCGGAGGCCTTTTGTTGCTTTATTTCTTTTTCCCCGTCTTCCTACCTTGATAGAAGCGCGGACTCTTCTCACTGTATCATTCCAGCTGGTCTCTCTTTACATCTCAGGCCGAATTCGTAGATTTTCAGGATGGTTTGAAGGTTATCTAGGTAATTTGGTGGGGACAGGTGACTCGGGGACCCTGCTCTTCTGCCGTCTTGCCCCTCCCCTCGTCTTATTTCTTTATAAAATAACTTACCAAGATTAGTTGGTTTGAACAATGCTTATCTTCTTAATGTAAAACTTAAGATATGGAACAAGCATCTTTTGTTTTGGCAGATTATCATATAGTTTGGATCAGCTTTCAGGTTTTCATCTTTGGAACATTTGATGTCATGAAGTATATCTGAGAGTTCCTTCAATGTGAAGTTTTTTCCTGTATCGCTTCCTCTAAGCCATCTTCATCCTTTTGTCACAGCCACTTTCCTCCTTTGTGTGGATAAGCTAACTTTTACTACATTCTCTGGCTGTACATTTTGAGACTTTCCAATGGTAGCAGGGTCACCATTCCTAAGTCAGCTATTCTATAACTGTTGATGCTCCATTTGAATTTTACTTCTAGTAATATTACTTTTCATTAGGTTGCACTTTGATCTTGGCTAGTTTCCTCTTAATTATCCATTTTTATAAAATGTCACATGGGTTTATCAGTGGGAGACAAGAAGACAACTAGAACTATAAGCTTTGCTGTCTGTGTCTGAATCAAATAGCATATATGCTTTGACCAATAGAACCAACAGACTTTGAAAAGTGATATGATAGATTACCGATCATGATGGGCATCTGTTTTTATTTAGTGATTTGTAGACAAAAGAGCAGGCAGTGAAGTTTGTACTTTCTGCAGTTACAGAAAGTTACAGTTAACATGCCACAGTAAATGAAATGTGTAAGTTTTTCTGAGCCATGCCAGGTAAGGCCTGTCTGTGCTAGAACTCTGAAAGTGCTCAAATGCTTATTGATAATATTTCCCCTATTTTATGCCATTTGGGAAATTAAGTAAAACATTTTATGTTCTAAAAATAGATGATAAGACATTTTCTTTTGATACCCTGTTAATCCATCCCCTTCCTCCCCCAGGGTCTGGTTAGTTCTTTAGGGTAGGATGGTATTTAGGGCGGGTAGCAGTGTTTTCTCTGGGACTGTCAGTCTAGGAACCTCAGTACTAAGTTTGGCTTGAGAACCCAGAATTTAGGTTTGGTTTAGCTTCAATGAAAGTTTTAATACTAAATCATACTTTATTTGTCCTCTTAGATTGATATAGAAATCAATGGCGATGCAGTGGATCTTCACATGAAATTGGGTGACAACGGGGAAGCTTTCTTTGTGGAGGAGACTGAAGAGGAATATGTAAGTCTAGTGGGTTACATCCACTTTGCAGATTGTACTCAGGCCTCCAGTACCTGTCCCAAAACAGAAATAATGTTCAGCAGTTTTCATGGTTAAACAAGCTTTAGTTTTAGATTGAAGGGCTAAGTTGTCAGAAAGGAGCTAGAGGAGTGAGGAACCTTTGCACTTGCTCTTTTTCTGTATTTAATGAGCTTTCTTATTTAGTATCTATTAGAGTTTACACCTTGACTTGAATACTCTCAGTTCCACCTAAATAATGAAGGTGTATCTCTACAGGCTGTGTATTTGTACATGTGACCTTTAAACTTGGAAAACGTATTTACCGTTTTGGTTAGGGATGTTGGATCTCTAACCTTGAATAGTCTTGTGAGTTAGTTTATTATGGTCTCAAAAGATTTGAATTAATTGGCCTATATCTTTTTAAATGATTATTACATGTTTGGCTTCTTTCAGTTAAAGAGCAGTTTGTTTACCCACCCCCACCTACTGATGTGAATGGTGGTAAACAGTTCTTAATGGAGTTAATGTGGATCTTAGAAGAGGCTTCGTTACAGCTTTTAGCACAAAGATTAAAATCTTAGCAAAAATGACAGCCTTCAAGTTATTAAGGATACAGGATTACTTTTGGGGGTTTTGAAGATGGAACTGCTCGTTGGATGTCATAAAATTCACAAAGAAAAAATGTCACAAAAAATAGCAGAATGAGATCCTTCATCATTTTTAATTTAGAGAGAAGCCAACAATTTATATGTCAATATGTAGAGCAGCATTACAAAATTTGATTATGAAAGGGAACCTTTCCAGACCAGTATTTTTTCCAGTACCTTAATTACTTGTTTTTATATTACCTTGTTTGTGTTTACTTGGCCTGAGCAAAGTTTTACCTGGATAGAGACTGAAGCAAAAGGCAGAATGAAACAGTAAATGAGTTATCACAAGAATAAATATTTTTGATATGTTTTGATCTGTTCCTTAAAATCGTGTATTTCAGAGCAGTGATTGATTAGGTTTTACATAAACAAGTGAGAGCACTGGGTTATTGATCATTTGTTATCTGGTTCTCGTGGTTAGTTCTGATGATTCCATTTATAACTATACTTAGCAAGGTTAACTTGAAGAGTGTCAACTTTCCAGCCTCTTTTTTCTATTCATGTATCAACAAATTGTTCACATTCTCTTTAGAATAGTGTACTTCTCTTTAAAATTAAAAAAAAAAAGTTAATTCACCAACAGCATTGAAATTACTACTCGATGTCATGTACTATTGAATATAACATGCCCCCACCCTCTAGGAGTTTATAGTTTAAAGGGAATAGACATTACCAAAACTCATCTGGCTTCCATTTATTTACATTTTTATTTCTCTTAAACTTTGCTCATCTAAACTGTATATTGTCAGCGTCCTTTTCAAGCCAGTAGTTCTAGATCTATCCCTGTCCTTTTGGTAGTTGCCCAGTCATCCAAAGTATGAAGGCACCACAGTTTAACCATCTAATGCTTACAGAGATTTAGGTCGTTTCATCCGCCCACCCCACACATTACAAATAGGGCTATAACAGAACTAGGAAACACCACCAGAGACCACATAACTTTTAAGAAGCACCAGTAAACTTTATTTATAACAAGGACCATTGAATTAAAAGGCCCCAAATGTCAGAGACCACAGCCCCTCACTTGGGTGCCGTGGGGGCATGCTGAATAATATCCTATATCACAGTTTCTCTGTAAGTATATATTGCTGGTGAACACAAATTTTGCTTGGATAAACAAAATTTTGGCTTTGGTGTAATATGTCTACCAAAGCCAAATTCAAAAGCTTGATTTAGAACAATTAGGAAACTCACTCATTTTCAGGATTATGTAAAAACTTTCGAAAATTTTAAGTTATTTTAGGTTAATTTATACCTCTATTACATATCTTCCATTTCCCCATGATACAAAGGGATGAAGTCAGTCACTAAGAAGTTAATTTTCTGAACACCAAATGATCATTTATTTATTTGATATTAAACTGCAAGTTTAATTACTTATTTATTTTTAAAGATATATTTATTAATTAGAGAGTGTGTGTGCACACACAAGCTAGCGGCATGGAACAGAGAAAGAGGGAGGGAGAATCTCAAGCACAGTCCCTGCTGATCATAGAGCCTAGTGTGGATTTCGATCCCAGGACGCTGAGATCATAACCTGAGCTGAAATCAAGAGAGAGGGATGCTTAGCCGACTGAGCCACCCAGGCATCCCATGAGTTTGGGTCTTATTTTCGTCATTTGAATTCCTGAAAGTCTGTCTTAAATACATTACAATTTTAAAATCCACTAATTTCATTTGTTAACAGGGTATTGTCTATTTTACTCACCTTCCTCCACCCTCATTTAATTTAGCAAACACAGATTTTACCATAGATTCTCACTTCACTTACCTGTCCTGCTGCCCCCATCTGATGGGATGTTCCAGATCCCTGCCTTCTTTTTTCCCTGTTACTACTGTTCTTCGTAAGTTCTTGACAGAATGCTTTGTATTGCCTCTGTAGAATGCTGCTGCCGCTTTGAACTTCCCTTTACAGAGAGTTTACTTGGCTGTGCTTTAATTACAGTTGTGGGTTTGTGCTAATTTGGTATATCGATTCCTTCAAATACATTCAGTTAGATGGACCAAACGAACTATTTGTGTGTACCAGGGTAAAGACCTATTCAGAGTAGACTGGGCAGTGCCATAGTTCAGTATAAGACACTCTTCTTACTTAGGGACTGTGTATTCTTTCTGCCACTGTGAATTTAGATACACAAAGAGTTCATTATTGTTTTTGGTTCTTTGTCCACTTGTGGACTTTTCTTTTTCCATGTTCTCTTTAAGGAAAAACTTCCTGCCTACCTTGCCACCTCACCAATTCCTACTGAAGACCAGTTCTTTAAAGATATGGATGCTCCTTTGGTGAAATCTGGTGGAAATGAAAGACCATCTCAGAGTTCAGATATCTCACATATCTTGGAAACAGAAACAGTTTTCACTTCAAGTTCTGTGAAAAAGAAAAAACGAAGGAGAAAGAAATGCAAACAGGATAGTAAGAAGGAAGACCAAAATGCTTCCCCTGCCTCCCCTGCTGCAGAGGATACTGTGGATGTGGAAATGAGCTCTGATGATGACAAGGCGGCCCAGTCAGCAAGGTAGGGCTCTTTGTGCAAGTGCGGGGCATGTGTGTGTGCTTTATGCAGGAGCTTGGGCAGAGCTCAGGTATGGCAAGTTGCTGTTTCTTCCATGGATCCTCAGGGTGAAGTTTGGATTTGTTTTTCTCCATGACAGTTTATTGTGGAATCAGTGCAAGAGGCATTTTCCTTTCTCTTTTCTGCTGTTCTATAAAATTTGCCATCAGACATCCTGCTGTGGTATAAAATGCCACTTGGAGCAGTCCAGCAGTGCATATCTTTCCAACCAGTAGGTTTCCAAAAGCCAAATGAATTACAGGTCACAAAGAAGATCTGAATTAGTGACTTGGCCCTGGGGCTCCCTTAAGTGTATATCTCTACTCGGTGGTGTCCTGGTCTTGGTCTCTCACCTATTTCTGAGAAGTTTAGAGTTATTTTGAGTTTATCACAAAAATGTTCCTAGTAAGTTGAAGAGGAATGGAGGCTTTTTTGTCATTAAGTGAGAAATCTTGATTACTTCTTATTTACCAGTTCAGTAGAAGAACTTGAAAATATATGGCAGTTTTCAAGTCAGCAGTGCCTAAGGTTTAAAAGGTATAAGTTGGGGCTAAAACATATATTTTTTTTGTTCAAGATTTTGATTTTTAAAAGGTTAACTTAGACTTGTTCAGTGGTTGCTCTGGCATTGGAAGGAGGACCATGTGTGTGTCGGCAGGGTGGTTTACTTTATTGATGAGCATTGGACAAGAAGTTGCTGCCCACAAGTGACCCTAAAGTTCTACTTGCAGTTCTTCCAAGATCCACCAGAAAGGACCTGAAGTAACTCTTTGCCTTCAAAGTTTAATGACATGTATCCTTTATTATAACACAGTTGAGCAAAGTTTAGAATTCTGGAACAATCTGCAACTTCAATTTAGGAAGTTAAAATATTTCTAAAACATATTCAATTGCCTACTAAATTGCACAAGAATCATTATTCTAAAGGAATTTTATAAATGAGTGTTGTAAGTAATCACAAAAATATTAGTGCATGCCATACTTTTCCAGATCGCACAAAAGGCTGAATTAGCCAAATCTGTCAGAGTACTGATTTGGTTGACAGTTACAAATGGTTGTCCACTTTCTCTTTGAGCCAGAACCTTGCTTGCTTGGTAAGCAGGCATGTCTGAATGCACTTAGAACTAGGGCATTGTAATAATTTTCAGGAGCTTGGTGGTTTGCTTTTTCTTTAGATTACCATGGATCATCGGTACTGCCACTTGGAGGAACTCTTTCCTAAAATTTCTTTAAAACAGTATCTGCTTAATTATGTAGCCAACAGAAATCAGGACTTTAAAAAAAGGACAAAATAGAACAGTTACGGGAATTCAGGTCAGATGTATACTGAAGTAAGCTCTGAGCTGAAAGCTAGAAGATGAGGCCCATAATGTTTTGGATTGTAGAACAGCAGTTACTTGATAACTCTGGTCTGGGCCCTTGTTTCTTGTAAGATTTATTTATTTATTTATTTATTTGAAAGCGCAAGCATGGAGAGGGAGGAGAAGCAGATTTCCCCACTGAGCACAGGCTCAGTCTCATGACCCTAAGATCATGACCTTAGCTGAAATGGAGTCAAATGTTTAATCACCTGAGCCACCCAGGCATCTCTGGACCTTTATTTCTTAATCTATAAAATAAGAGTTAAACTACATGGTTAGCAAGGCCCCTTCCAGCTCAGTATCTAGATTCTAAAATAACTTATGGGGGGAGATACTTAGGATCAGAAGTGTTAACAGTACATTAAACAGGTGAAAGAATCAGAGAAAAAAGAATGGAAAGTCAACTGCTTTTGCAGTTGTGCAACCTAGAAATTAGGTGGGGTTGGGAAGTTTACAACTTTCAAATATCTTCCCCTGCTCAGGCCCCTACACTTAAGAAAAATTGTGTTTCCAGAGAAACATCTAAAATTGGTTTTGTTTTGTTTTTTAAAGATTTTATTTGTTTACTTATTTGAGAGAGAGGGCATGAGCCAGGGGGTAGGGAGATGAGGGCAGAATTGAGAGGGAGAAGACTCCTCACTAAGCAGGGAGCCAGACTTGCTGGTTCAATCCCAGGACCCTGAGATCATGACCTGAGCTGAAGGCAGCCGCTTAACCACCTGACCCATCCAGGTGCCCTCTTAAGAGGGTTTGGTTTTTATTTTAATTTGATAAATAACATTCTATCTAAATAGCATTCTCTCTGCTTTTCAAGAATTTCGATGGAATAGAATTAAGGTTAATTGAGGCTCCTTGAAGGAAGCAGGTGAGAGATGAAATCATTCTTTAAAGCAGATTGCTATTGCACAGCTAAAAGAGACACATTGGTGAAAATTGGAGAACCTGAAACTATACTGAGCTTTGTGTAAACTATACCTATTAAGTCTCTCCCTCAAGATAGACTTTGGCTTGTATATAGCATAGAAGCCTCGTTTGTCCTTCCAGAAGATGGATTGACTATATTAGTGTATGTGTATTAAAAACATTGCACCTAGGCTGAGTAGTCTTTTGGAGGGAAGAGACTTGTCAAATTGGATGGTGCTCTAGCACAATCCCAGCACTGTTAAAAATGGAGAATTAAAGACTACATCATCAGAAAGGAGTCTCTTTTTTAATCCCCCAAAGCAGACATGTTTATAAGTTATATCTGGAAACTAGGTACAGGGAGCATAAGACTTTTTATAAACAGCATCTGTTGCCCTGAGGCTGCATACTTCATCTCCTGATCAATAACTGGCTTCTGGAGAACCCTCCATGTTCTTCTTTGGTGACAGGAATCTTACAGTCTGCGTTTTCTCCCCTTCATTTCTTTTTCTTTTCTTTTCTTTTTGTAAAGTAGGCTGCACACCCAGCATGGAGCTCAGTATGGGGCCTGAACTCACAACTCTTAAGTTCAAGACCTGAGCTGAGGTCAATAGACCCTTAGCCAACTGATCCCTCAGGCACCACCTCCCCTTTATTTCTGACACAGTAGACAGAGAAACATTTTAGGGCTCCTTTCAGTCCTACCATGATATCTTTTATGGGAAATGCCCTATATCCAAAAGCAAACTGAGACCATTAGCCATACTGAAATTAATTGACCAATACTGTGGTAAGGCTGAGGATAGACATTGTTTACAGAGTTAGTGATCTTTGGTCATGGTAGTTAGCAACCCCATATAGCTCTTATTTACCACCAATTAAATAGATGAAAATTGATTTAATCTTTCATTTATTTTAGCTTCCTTTTGATTTTCCCCCCTGCTTTTAAAAAAAATTGAGGTTTAATTTACATGCAGTAATATCCATAGAACTTAAATATGCAGTCGAGTGAATTTTGACAGTTGTATGTATCATGTAACCTCTGTTGGCTTTTGAATAGGAAAGATAATTGGTTTATAAAATGGTATTAAATTTGAAGCCTTGTTAAATGCATCTGTGAATGCTGAATTGCTCTATTATATACACTTAGTATGAACTTAAGCAACTGAACCTCCCACTTCCTCCAACCTTGACTCAGTGTTAAACTGTTTACTGCAAATTCTCTGCTTTTCAGTGTTAATGTGTGTATTGGTCCTGTATCTTGACATATAGCCAGTGTTCACACTGTTGTCTTCACATTCCAATATTTACACTACCTTTTATCTTTATATCATGTATTTCATTTATGTTACTCTGTTGTGGTCTACCTACACTGTCAAATGCTCTCAGGCATGTATGCCATTTTGAAAAGCACTTAGCAAGTTTTTAGAAGTCTTGGTTTAGGTAATGGGTCATAGGACTGAAGGGAACCTCAACATCAGCAACCTTTTCCATTATCTAATGGGTCTGAACTAATGGGCTTTATTTTTGTCAAGCTATCCCCAGAGAAGACCATTTCATATCTTCCCTGAAGTTGTTAATTCTTAATCTCTCTCTCCCTCCCTCTCTCTCTCTCTCTCTCTCTCTCTCTCTTTCTCTTTCTCTCTCACTCTCTGGGTATTTTACTAAATCCGCTGAACTCTTCTGGTCTTACCTTTTATACTGCAGCAAAATAGGTTTCAAAATATAAAATATTTTTAATTAAGTTTATGACTTTTACATTGTTCTTTTCAAACCGCTTTCAAATACATGAATAGTGATGGGTCAGGCTGTCTTATGCTTTCAAATTTGTCAAGTGAGGACTATTGATAAGCATCTGGCTTTCCTTTTTACAGTTTTTATCATTTCAGTTTCATTTTTTAAGAAATAGAGTATTTTTACCTAGATGTCTGCCTTTTTCAAGTATATTTTTCTTCCCCTGAATGAGGTATTGTATCAGAGTTTAATTCTTTTGAGAGAAAGAAGATTAGGAAAACGTTAAGTTAGATGACACAGCTATATGGAAAAACTATGACAAAGCAGACATTGTGGTAAAGCAGAGCACATTAAATGATATAAAGGAAGAAAGGTAATATTAAAAATTAGTCAACTGATTTCTCCGTTTTTAGTCTACCAAATTAAGTCATACGGATATTCTCATTTTACATAGAATATCTGTCCTGGTAGAATATAGAATTTTCTATAAGAAGCTCTTGAACTGGAAAGTTATAGTGCTTTATACTTTTCAGAGTTTTTATTTGTACTTTTCTTTATACTTTTCAGAGTTCCCAACATATAATATACTTCATAAATCTCATATAGACTCTCTGAAATAGAACAAGTGATAAATTTCCAAAGAAGATGAAAAACTGGGGCCCATGGTGCTTCTGGGGGATGTGTTCAAGGTTATATGGCAAGTTAGTTACGTTAACTGAAAATTTAAGAAAACCAAAGGGTAAATTAATTAAAAGCTTATCAGCATCAGTTCATCCTCCTATTGTTCTGAAGTCTCTGTATGAATCTTAAAAGCATTTATTTTTGTATCATTTTCCTCATATCCCCACATCTTGTAGATTCTAAATAAGGATAAAGTTCTCAGGTAATTCTTGGCCCAAACAAAAAGAAAAAATAAGTTCTGCATGTTTTAAGAGTTTTTAGGGTGTTTTTGAAATTTTGAACTACAGCTCATCGGCAGCTCATAGTCTTATGTTTTCTGTAATATACAGGGGAGTATAGTGAAAGAACATGGGCTTACTTGTTTTGAATTCAGCCACTTACTAGCTCTTTGATTTTGGGCAGATTACTAAACTTCTCTGGATCCTTGATTATTTAATATCTAAGATAGGTTATTCTTACCTCAGATTTGTAAGGATTGAATGAAATATACATAAAGGCTTCGTTTCCCCTTCTAGCCTTTGAATCAATTACCTTGAAGGGCTCTAAGGGAATTTTTAATCACATCTTTTCTGTTCTTCCTGTTTATCCCATACTTCAGTAGTGATTGCATTAGTGTATGATGGGTGATTGCATTAGTGTATGATGGGTGGCATCAGTAATCTCCCTTCTCCTTCATATTTTCCTCTTATGAGGATTAGTTATTACTTATTTGGCTGTCTTCATTTGTATCATCTAGACAATGTTATCAGTAGATTTGGGGATATTTTTAAGCTGACATAATATCATTGTTCCTCACTTTGTTTTTTTTCTTTCACAGAGGATCTTCAAATGCTTCCTTAAAGGAAGATGAATATAAGGAGCCTTTGCTCTTCCATTCTGGGGATCACTACCCCTTATCTGATGGAGACTGGTCCCCTTTAGACAAGTAAGTATTTTCAAAATTTATTTTCTTTAAGGAAAAATATATTAAATAGCTTTTCTGTTATTTGGTAGTAGTAATATTTCTCTCATACAGGAGAACTGAATGAATAAGTACTTTTAACATGAATATGGACCTTTCCTCTTGAATAATTACTTTGTTCCTAAACGTAATCTGACTTATCCTCACTGTGTTGGTCAGTGTAGATCTGCATAATCAGCACAGAATGTGGCCTTCTACAATTCTTAAATTCTAATCTTAAAGTGTCAGCTATTAACCATAACTGGATAATGTGAAGAAACATGCAGTCAGACTTTGTTCTATGTCCCAATCCAGTTTCTCTCACTTACTAATTATTTTAACCTATCTGTGCATTTCATCTCCTATAAAATTGCCTTTTTCGTTGATTTCTTGTGAGAATCCATGGGATAATGCATATAAAGTATTTACAGCGAACCCAGCAAGTCCTCAGTAGATACTGGTTGGTGTTGTTTTTATTATTAAAGAACTCAAATGGAAGAAATAATTGATGTTCCCTTCAATAGAGTCTTTATACTGTCAGGATAAAGATGAAATATTCAAACATATTTCTTTTAATCTGTCCAACTCAACAAAACTGAAGTTCCTGACTTTAAAGGCATCACATTTCTTTGTCCTGTGTTTATTTATAGCCCCTATTCCCCAGCAGCAGTATGTCCTAAGAGTGATTCAGAGTTGGAGGTGAAACCTGCCGAGAGCCTGCTCAGATCTGAGTCCCACATGGAGTGGACGTGGGGAGGGTTCCCAGAGTCCACCAAGGTACTCTTTACTTGCCTGTGGAATATGTCTAGATAAAAACCCATGAGATGTCTCTGTCTTTTAATGAAGGGGGGAGGGGTGATTTCTGAGCCAGCACACGTGAATATAAGTGATGATGGTGCCCTCATGTGGTCATGTGAGGAAATAAAAGTTAACATTTTTCGTAACTGCAACGGAGAATCCAGTGTTCTTTTGTGTGTGTTTCTATTTAGTAAATAATGTTAATTAACATTTTAAGAAGGAAAATTAAAAGACACCTAAAGGAAACTAGAATTTCCACACTTAAGTTTTACATAGGAAATTGATGATGAAACCTTTTTTCCCAGCTTATAATGAAAGAATTGGAAAGATACATTACTTGAAAGAAAGAATATTTAGACCCTCTAAATTTGTTTTTTTTTCATTACATATTTTGCTTATATGTATGATTTTCACTGAGACTTGACTACCCGCTTTTAATGCTATTTTAACAGAGCCTTGAGATAAGTCCATGCAGGGCTAAATTTTCACATAGCACTCAAGTTTTCCCCCTGAAAATGAATATTCTCCATCTTAGCATCCAAAAATTGTCCTAGTTCCTTAGTCTTCTCCAGTGTTTAACACTTCATAGTATAGCAGTTAGAAATTGAACTCTTGTAAATATTATGATAACTGAACAAAATGTGGTTAATTTTTCCCAGTTCCTAATTATGAATTATCGCACATAAAATCACAGTATTTACCAGATGTGTTGTTATAAATAAAATGAATACATTTACCTGCATCCAGCTTAAGAAATAGATTAAACTACTTTCAAAGGCATTTGTTATAATTTTTAAACAATTCAACTTTTTTTAGGTCAGCAAAAGAGAGAGATCTGACCATCATCCTAGGACAGCTACGATTACACCCTCAGAAAATACTCACTTTCGGGTAATTCCCAGTGATGACAACCTCATAAATGCAGTTGATAAAGATGTTTCTATGGGAGAAACAGTCTGTACCATAGTGAAACCCAAACCCAGAGCCCTGTGTAAGCAGATGAGCAATGCAACTTCTGCTGCAGAACTTCTCGAACCTCCCCTGGAACCTCCTCAGATTTCATCTATGTTAGATGCAGAGCACCTTCCTAACCCATCATTAGTGGAGACCCCCTCAGAATCAAAACTTGCAGTGAAAGTAGACTCACCATCAAAGAAGAAAGGTAATCATTTGTTTGATTTGGCATCAAGTACTGTAAATTTAGATGATAAATTATTTCAATGTTTTAAATGATATGTGGCTACCTTTGTATTTGTATTCCGTGATCAGAACCTATCACAAACTGTTAGGATTGCTTGTGCAATAGGGCTTCTCCACTGCACTACACAGTCCCCTGCAGGAGGACTCTACTTCTCTGCTCTCTCCTGACTGCTCCTGCTCAGTATACCCTTGGGAAGCCTTTATTGAGAAAAAAAAATTAATGAGCATGTTCAAATCAGTTAATGCATAAAATTAACCACTTTATTGACAAAGTATGTCAATAAAGTGGAGTCCTCAAAAATTATGTGTTCAAAAAGAAAAAAATTGGATGAGAGAAGAATGTTTTCACCTGAAACATCTGATTAGGTGAGACCAAATTAAGTACCTTTTTTTTTTTTCCAGTAACATGGGATATAAATAAATGCACTAATGACTAGTATGTGTTCTATTCTTTCATTATTGCCTTCTAAAGCATATAAAAGATTGGGTCTGACTCTTGGTTCAACAACTCTGTCTCACTTTGGAATATAAGTTTAATAAATCAGAACATTTTTACTATTTAAAAATACAAAGTTGGGCGTTGACACTTATTAGTACAGTAAGAGTCAGAACATACTCACTGTCTGAGCACTGGCCCTGGATCCTATTTTTAGGGAAGTAAAACTTTACCTGAAAGTTAAAAATACCTACTATCACATAATAGCCAAATATCTACTTCACTTTTTAAAAAATTCTAACACCAAAGGTTAGATAATCACAAACTAACTTAATAGATAACCACTACAGTATTGACCTTCAGAGTCACTCAGAAATAACTTAGAGAAAGGCGAATATCATATTCCACTCATATGTGGAATTTAGGAAACAAAACATGAACATAGGGGAAGGAAATGAAAAATAAAAAGATGAAAACAGGTGAGCCATAAAAGACTCTTAACTATAGGAAACAAACTGAGGGTTGCTGGAGGGGAGGTGGGTAGGATGACAGGGTAACTGGGTGATGGACATTAAGGAGGGCACATGGTCACATGGTGGAATGAGCGTAGGGTGTTATATGCAACGGATGGATCACTAAATTCTACCTCTGAAACTAATAATACACTATATTTTAAGTAAATGTAAATTTTTAAAAAAGAACTTATTTAAAATAAAAGAATTTCAGTATTTGTGGCCAAATACATCCAGCTGATGATCCAGCTTAACTTGGTTCATGCTATTTCATAACTCAGCACTTCAGCAACCAAAGGCCCATACCCATGTGTTCTCCTCTGAGAACTGTTAAGGAGGAAAATCCAATTTTCAGGGTGAATGTTTTGTTTTAGTCTAGAAAATAATGGCCCCTATTCTTAGCACATAACGTAGGAACTGACCAGAGATAGGAATGCTGAGTAGTTTCTACCATTCGTTTGGCCTGATTCTTTCTCCCCCCCAGCTTTTTACTAGGAAGTGTTATGCATATTTGCTTTGTTCCTCCCTCTCTCTCTCTCTCTCTCTCTCTCTCTCTTTTTATTCTAAACCATTTGAAAACAGTTTGCAGGCATCATGACATTTTACCCTTAAATACTGTAAGATACACCTTCAAAGAATAAGAACGTTGTCTGCATAACCACAGGACCATGATCATCTTAAGTAATTCATGTTCCTATTTCCCCATATGTGCCAAGAAAGGCTTTTTAACAGTCCACGCGCCCCCCCCTCCCCCCACCAAGATCTCATCAAGGTTTACATGTTGCATTTGGTTCTTGTGTTTAACTTTTTGGGGAACAGCCCTCCCACACACACAAACTCCCTCACTCTCATACACACACACCACTACACCTCTTTCCCCGTGATACTGACCTCTTCAAGAGCCCAGCCGATTCTCATGCATGCTTTCTCACATTCTGGATGTATCTGATAGTTTTTTTCAAGGTGACATCTCCATATTTCCTTAAACTGGAAGTTAGCTTTAGGATAACACTCCCTAGTAGAAATGCAGTGGCTGCGTATGTTATTTTAAATCTTCTCACATTAAAAATAAGTGAAATTAAGTTAGTAATATATTCTGAGCTAGTAAGTCCGCATTTATTATTTTAACATGTGATCAATATAAAAATTGAACTACTTTACATTTTTTATACTAAGTCTTAGAAATCTGGTATGTGTTTTACACATTTTTTAACACATTCTATACAGCTCCCTTCAGATTAGGACACTGGTGACTGACTATAGTGGGCAGTACAAATCTGGAGGCTTAATTAGATTTGGGTTAAACATTATTTTTTGAGTTGAAGATTACCTGTGGGATATATTGAGTATTTCATACAGCATCTCCTAATGTCCCACTACTCATGATTCTTTTTTTTTTTAATTTTTTTTTTTAATTTTTATTTATTTATGATAGTCACAGAGACAGAGAGAGAGGCAGAGACACAGGCAGAGGGAGAAGCAGGCTCCATGCACCGGGAGCCCGATGTGGGATTCGATCCCGGGTCTCCAGGATCGCGCCCTGGGCCAAAGGCAGGCACCAAACCGCTGCGCCACCCAGGGATCCCCCACTACTCATGATTCTTAATGCAACAACCATTTGTTTAAAGTGTTGTCTGCCAGATTTCTCCATTGTAAAAAGATTTTTATCCTTTTGTGGTCAGAAAGTAATTATTGGTGATACTTGGACACCATGTGACTTGTCCTGTTTTAGCAACCCTTCCTCACAGTTTTAGAATACTGGCCTCTTTCTCAGTGCCAGTGATTTCATCAGGTTTCATCATGCTTCTTCATACCATAAGAAAACTTTATCATCAAATATAAATGATTTAGGACTAGGATTATGCATGTAACAATAAATGAAAGAATAAGTTAGCACATGTTTATTGTACAACTGTTATGTGCGTAACACCGAATTTCTCTTCCATTGGTGTGGATGGTTAAGAACCAACACAAGTGAATGGTTAGTTGACATCTTTAAAAATAAAATGGAGTTTGAATTATGGTTGGTTTTGTTTGCAAACCTTTGTGTGTTTTTTTGCAGAGTTGTAAATAACAAGTTTTTACCACTGATGTGTTTTTTTTATAAAAATAGGCGTCCACAAAAGAAGCCAGCACCAGGGACCTGATGATATTTACCTGGATGACCTAAAGGCTCTAGAACCTGAAGTTGCAGCGCTCTATTTCCCTAAAAGGTAGTGTATTTCTTACATGTTGAAGGGTAAACAGCTGTGAAATATAATGGCTGTTTCTAAAGCAAAACATTCTAAGAAAAAGGAGTAAGGTTATGGTGAGCGTTAGCTAAGTTGGATGATTGCTTCAGATTTTGGGAAATTCAGAAATTGTGTTTTGTTTGGACTATAGTGATTTGAAACTACTAATTTACCTATTTAGGGAGAAATTTTCAGTATAATGAGAAGAGGTATACTAGTTAAACCTATGTAAGGTTATACCACCAATGGTTATAACTTCAGATTAATTACAGTCATTAATATAAACTCAACATGTTTGGGAAAATTCATTAACGTTATTTCATTTATTATGTATTTTAAAGGTAATATGTCTTTATTCAAAAACAATTTATAAAGAATGTCTCCACTCCTTCAGTGAGTCTGAGCTCCCAGGCTTTTTCTGAACTTGGGCTGGGCCCAGTCAGACCCCATTCCAGCTAGTCTGTGTGCCCCACATTTTCTCTAGAGCTGTCACCGGTTGTCACCCTCCTTCCTTTTCCCTCTTTGAAGAACTCTAAAACCTCAGATATAGTGTATTTGTACTCTTGTCCAAAGTTCATGTCTATCCTTAGGGAAATTCCATTAGAAGATTCTGTGATTACAAAAAAACAGTTTACTTTTTCCTCACAGAAAGTATGGTTTGAATATACTGAGCTATAGGCACACATAATTAAACACTTCTAAATAAATTATTGAAAAATCTATTAAGTGTTTATTTAAAATGGAAAGATGGAGATTAAATGATGTTTAAAATTTTTTATAGATATTTTTGGAAGGTTCTCAAAGCTCCTTCCTACCTCTCTGCCCTAAATTTGTCTTAAAATATCTTCTTCACATAAAGTCATAGTTGGGTTTTTAAGGTGAAAGAACTAGAAGTCCTCCTTTTTTTTTTTTTCAGTGAGAAAGTGAAAACGTAGCTGTCTTAGAATTATCACTTTCAGATTTCCCAGTCCTTATTTATTAGTGTTCCAAGGATTGATGTCTTAGTTTCCCTTTTAAGAAAAGGGGAGGAGTGGATTGATTTTATTAAAAAAGGAGAGGAACTAATGCAACAGGACCTTACTGCATAGGGTCATTGCATATTTACCAAGTTAGTTTATTCCCTCCTGAACAAATTATGTCTTGAGACATTTTATAATTAAAGGTAGCAAAACTGTTGTAATGCTTACAAACATTTGTTAACTTTCATGATCCATGTCATCTTGACTGAGTATCCAGTATTTTTAATTATAGTTAAACTTTAATATACATCACATCACTAGTGGATTTGGCAGCATGTGGAGTCAGATGGCATCCTCCATGTATTTAGAGGTTACATTGGTTAGGATAACACTAGCTGCTCTGACAAACACAGGACTTCAGTGGCTTACCACAGTAGAAGTTGATCTCTTGCTCACATGATATTCCAGTGCTGGTGTTTGGTGTGAGGCACCTTGCACACAGGGATTCAAGAACACAAGCTTTTCTTCCATCTTGAGTCTCCACTGTTCCCTTCGGGCCTCTGTAGGGAAAGAAAGGCTCACACAGGGGAGTTTTCAGGAGCCAGGCTTAGGAAGGGCATGGCACGCCCCTTTAGTCCACATCTGAAAACTCGGTTATATGATCACACCTAACTACAAGGGGATCTAGCCATGGGCCCATGAGAAAGTGGAAACACATTACAGTTTTCTGTTTCTGTTTTACCCAGGGGTCAGCTTTGCCCTCTGACTCCAACATAATAGGTTTTGTTGCTTTACATTGGCTTTGGCTTTTTCACTATTTCCAGTGAAAAGAATATTTTGTTGATCTAATCTCAATATTGCGGTATAGGTGTGCATTGCTATTAAGAAAGAAAATTTCCAGAAACTTAAATCTTTTGTTGGTTCAAATGCAAAGCATAATAGCTTTGGAAACTGCTTCCTATTTATGGCCTATCCATACTCTGTTGCCACCTACTGCTCAAATTTGAGGAATCCCCCCCCAAAAAAAGATCATAAAGCTTCACTAGATCACATACATTTAAGTATATTGTTTTTTTGAATAAAATAAAAGAATTTGAGACTTCTAGAACAGTTTCTCACTGTGACATTAAATGTCCATTCAGAGGGCGTGAAGCAGTAAACATGAATAAGAAGCTTAAGGTACTATTTCCTTGTTCCTTTTTATTCAGGTTTATGCTCTGTTACAAAGTTACCCTCAGGATCATCTTCTAAATCCCGGCTTCTGTGCCTTTACCCTCTAGAAAAATGAAAATATTGAATAATTTAACCTTTAGTCCTGAACCTCACTAGTGTAAGAATAGTTTATTTCTAGTTTATTTCTTACAATATTTCTTTTCAAGGTTCGTCTACTTCCTGAGAATTTTCTCCTTCTTAATTTCTTTGTTCTACTTTGCAAAGTAACAGATGAATTTAGAAAAGCCTAGACAACTCTGAACTATAGTAATTTTCTACAGGATGTATATAGTACCACAGCTTTTTCTAGGAAATTAGGATCAAAGGTTTCCAAACATCAGATTTTTCTTAATTACTCTGTCATTTTCATCATGGAGATGTAAATAAATGGTTATAACTCTTTTACTCCTTTAATTAAAATCAGAAAGGCTGTAGTTGAAAAGTTTGTCTTACTGGGAATGCCTGTGGTGATTTTTATGTGACATATTTACTATACTCACAGTTAATTCCGCAGCAGTGCTATTGGGTTATTTTTAATGGCGGATTCTAAGCTCTATCTCAGAAAAGGTTCTGTAGGTTGGTCTGTTCCTTTTTTTAAGGGAATTATATTATTTGATTCAAGCCCCTAGAGTACCATGTAGTAAGGTAGGAATGCAAGAAGTTGAAATCAGTCAAATCCTTTTCTCCCCATCCCCTGCCCACAGTGAATCGGACCCTGGCTCTCGGCAGTGGCCCGAGTCTGACACGCTCTCTGGCTCCCAGTCCCCACAGTCTGTGGGAAGTGCGGCTGCAGATAGTGGCACCGAGTGTCTCTCAGATTCTGCTATGGACTTGCCTGATGTCACCCTCTCCCTTTGTGGGGGTCTAAGTGAAAACGGAGAAATTTCCAAAGGTACGTTGGGTAGTCATGCCATGTCTTCACTGGAGAAAGCAATCTGGTCATCACTTGATAGAAAACCTGCTGATTAGCCACTTCAGGGTATTAAATTCTGTAATAACCTTGTGCAGGTAACAGGTATCTCCCTAATGTCAGACCTTTAGTCCCTCATTTAAGGCACCTCCTATGGAGTGACCTTACATAAAAATGGCTTGGGTGAGTAAGAGTGTCTTGAAGATGCTCATGTCACTTGAAGACGGAGAATGCTCAGGCTGCCCTGTTTACAGAGTGGCCAGGGTCAGATCACATTGTGGCCATTTTCTTGTCTTTGATGTTGACATGTGTGGACTGGGGCCCAGCAGCCTCTTAGAAAGCACTGGGCCTGAGACATGAGAGTAAAGCCTGAAGTTGTGGAAAATTGTCGGTTGAGGAAATAGTCTTTCTGGCAAAAAGTAGAAGGGGTTACTTTCTGTCTCAGTCTTGAGACTTGGCCTCGGAAAGTACAGTTGTTCCAGAGAAAGGAAGGAGCTTAGTGGCGCCAATTCAGATGACTCTCAGGTAGATTGAGCACTCGTGTGTCTTCCCAAGTTCTTGGCCTTTCTGGTTTTACCTTCCTTTGTAACCTAAATTCTTAATATTTTCTCAGTTTGGCTGATGGCCCCTGATTGATTTTCCCCTAAGGAAAGATTTTCTTTCCACGACTAGTATCATCATTTGTCTTCTCTCCCCCCTCAACTCTCCCCCCTCAAAGCACCTGAAGTCCTGTATTGAGCAGACTGGGTGCCCTGAGTGTTACAGTTATGTTTTGCCTAATCTTTGCTCTTTTTAAAGGTCACAGGGTGCTCATTATGCCTCTTTATTCTCCATATCTTTATTCTGTGTGTTTTATTATTTGTAAGAAATCCAGAGTCTACTGTGGCCAGATAGCTCTTAATCCTCATAAACCTTAACTTTAAAAACTATATATATGGGAAGTGGAATGGAAAATACACAATGATATAAACTATAAAATTTATACTTAAAAAAATCTGGGTAACTTAGGTAGAATTTATTATTGGAGGAGGCAGATGGCAAGTAAAAGTGATTAATATACATCTTGCCAGGAGGAACAATCCTGGTGAGGAAATTCTCTGTTAACCTGCATCTACTAGAGTGCAGGTTTAGAAACTGATCATACAAATTCATGCAGAATCCTCATTCATTTCTCAAGAACTTGGAATTTATTTCTTGACAGACCCTAAACCAAATTCTGGTATGTGTTTATTAGTTTTTTTTCCTCCAAGCAATAGTAAAATGTTTTGATTATTTTTCTAATGTGGCATGCACTTAAAGCTGTGAGATCCCCATGAATATTCCCTAGTTAGGCGGTTGCCTGCCAGTTAAGTTTGTGTTAAGGATGAAGCTGCCGTTTTCATTAGTTCCAGAGAATGTGCACATGTGTGTCTTTGTGTCTTCCTCCACCCCCTTCCACATCTGTAATCTATTTTCCTAAAAGTCTGCTATATCCCTCTTGTGTTTTTTCGTTGTTGTGGTTTTGAGTGGTTGTCTTTCTTTCTTTCCTTTTTCCTTTTTCCTTTCCTTTCCTTTTTCCTTTCCTTTTTCCTTTCCTTTTTCCTTTCTTTCTTTCCTTTCTAACTGCAGGATGAGTGGTGGAATAGGGGAAGGATGATAGAAAAAGGAAGTGTTCTTTCTTATCCTGGATTTAAAAAAGTATATTTTGCTTTTGATGAATATAAAAAAGTTTTGTTTTTTAAAGGACTCATTTTATTCTATATATAGTTCCTTCAACGTAGAGTATTGTAATCTCGTTTAGGAATTTATGTAATCTCTAACCAAAGGATCGTTGTTATTTTACATTGCAGAAAAATTCATGGAGCATATCATTACTTATCATGAATTTGCAGAAAACCCTGGACTCATAGATAATCCTAACCTTGTAATACGGATATATAACCGGTAAATACTCTTGTTTTTATAATTGCTAAATACTCTTGGAGAGTTTTTTTCCAAAGTGGTGTTTTTAACTCTTATCATTTTCTTGCAATCAAATGTGCCATCTCCTATAAATGAACTAGTGGGCAGTGACTTTGAAGTGAAAGAGAAACCTCAGCCTTATTTTTCAATGAAGCAATGAAATGTTATTCTTAGATGTTTTACTGCTTGTCTGCTTAGAGAAGTTTGGCTTGAAGCAAAGGTCATTCATTCATTTGACCAAAAAAATTTAGTTGAACTTCGCTTCATTGAGAAGAATTAGGAATTTTATGTTTTTCTACGCTCATCCTCTTTTCGTTCTCCCTTTCTACCCCTTTCTCTACTCCCTCCCTTCTTCGTGTAACGGTTTTGCCCAATTTTTATTTCATACAGTTATTATAACTGGGCTTTGGCTGCTCCCATGATCCTTAGCTTGCAAGTATTCCAGAAGAGTCTGCCGAAGGTGAGATGATCCACGATTTGTTTTCCTTTTTAAAAATATTACAGCATACGATATTTAGAAACATCCATATGTGCACATTTCTAAACTGGGTACTATTCAGAGTTTGGTTTAAAATTAATTTAATATTCTAGATCCAAAGAGTTCTATGTGCCCACTCAAATTATCTCACACCCAAAATCTAGGAAATTTGCTGGGCTGCCATTGTCTTTGTCATTTTTATTAGATATTTGTATTGGTTTTTGACTAGGTATAAAAGTTGAGATTTTTTTCATTGTTAGTTAAGTACAGAATAAACAAAAAAAAAATTTCATCTCATTAATATGGAAAGCAGCAGCAAGAAGAGGTTGTGGCCACCAGAAGTATGACATCAGGGTGATTGGGTAAAGTTGTGGCCAGTAAGCGTGTTATGTAGAATCTGAAGGTTTGTTCCAAATCTGTCTGTGAGCCTGATTGGTCCTCATAACTCATAAGAACATGTTTTCTTTTTTGTTTTGTTTTGTATATTTTTTTATTGGAGTTCGATTTGCCAAAATATAGCATAACACCCAGTGCTCATTCCGTCAAGTGGCCCCCTCAGTGCCCGTCACCCAGTCTCCCCATCCCCCCTGCCCACCTCCCTTTCCACCACCCCTTGTTCGTTTCCCAGAGTTAGGAGTCTCTCAGAGAAAATGTTTTCCAAGGATAAAGAAATGAGATCAGCTGACCTGCCAGCCCCCTGCTCCTAAATAGCCAGACCACCTGGTCTCTTACCACAGAACTGCCACAAAGCTATGCTACTACAAAAGAGGACTGCCTACCTTTCAGAGGTGTTACAGACTCTAGAGGAGTTTGGGAGGTGGGAAGAATGCTGCTCACATTCCATAATGAGGCACCATCCTGCAGACTGCTGGTGGAAAGTAGTTGGGTGCTTTGTGACAAATGGCTAGGCTGACCCAAGTCAATTGTTTCCAGGCCACAGTTGAGTCCTGGGTCAAAGATAAGATGCCAAAGAAATCTGGTCGCTGGTGGTTTTGGCGTAAGAGAGAGAGCATGACCAAACAGGTAACTGACCTGGAGGGGGGGTAATTTTTTTCTGTGGACTGAAAAGAAGTGAATCATTAATTTGTTCAAAAAACCTTTTTGCCAAGCACAGGAAAGTCAATTTGGGCTATAGAATACTCTCCTGCAATAATAATGGTCACCATTTTGAATAGTTAGATGTGCAGGAACCATGCTAGATGCTTTATTTGCCTCTCTTTGCTGCAGCCTAACAGTATAGATGTTTGAGCTCCCACTTTCCACCAAAGAAATGGGCACAGAGAGGTAATGTAGCCTGACCAAGGACACGTAACTGCTGAGGGGTGGAGCTGGGGTTTGGCCATGAATCAAGCTCCAAAGCCTGTGCTCTTTCTGCTTTGCTTACTGCATTACCTTCCAGATAGAAGCGAGAACTTGTCCTCCTACCAAGGAGGAGACCCTGGTGGCAGTGGCCTCAGTGACTTCTGTACTATAGGTGTCCCTGCAAAGACCTAATCAGTGTGGGCTGGTTGTATTCTATTCTGTGACTTGAAATGGTGCCCTTTTAAAATTTTTACTTGTGACTTTGCAGTGACAGCTTTTTGCATAGCAGCACATGACCTCTGTCTCTGATTTCTATCCTTTGGCTCAAAGTAGAGAAAATCTGCTTAAGCATTTTTAAGTTGTGGATTCAGAAAACCATTTTACTCATTCCTAGAAAGGGCTGCTGATAAATTTTTACCTGTCAGTCATTGGGAGGGAAAAACTGTACATTGCCATTGTTATCTTGTTTTAGCTGCCAGAGGCCAAGGAAGGGAAATCCGAGGTGCCACCAACCAGTGATCTGCCATCGAGCGCAAAGGAGCCAGCCAGTGGCAGGTGGGGTGCCCTGTCCTTCCTCTGGGCTCACAGTACTTGGGCTACCTCTGCTTTTTAGCCATTGTATTCAAATTGATTTTGACAGTTTTGTTTAATTTTTAGTCAAAAATGTCTTACGGACAAGCATGTTGGGCATGGTTGGTGCCTCTCCATTAGCAGATGATAACTTCTGCTTTTCTTAAAAATATAATCAGCTGAGAGGACTGAAGGTACCCATCACTGCTTTTTCAATGCCTTGCTCCCATCCTGGAGCTGTGGAATCAGATGCCTGTGAAATGGAGGCCTGTGGGAAGGAGATCTAGAGGAGTCTTGAGATGTGCTGTCCCTGGTGTCCTGTCAGGCGCACAGGGAGATGGAAAAGAATTTCAGAGGGTGCCTGGCTGGCTCATAGCATGTGACTCTTGATCTCAGGGTCATGAGTTCCAGTCCCCCATTGGGTATAGAGATTACTTTAAATTTTTTTTAAAAATCAAAAATTGGTGTGGGTCCATTTCATTTCTTAGAAGGAGTAGCACCCCTCTGGATATTTGTTTTGGCTGACCCTAAAAGGAGGTGCCACCATGTACCCCATCCTTCCTGCTGTTCTTGGACTTCTCCAGCCAGATTCTTTCTCCTGTTCTAACTGTAATTCAGCAGTTGGTCTAAGCCTGAGCATTCATTTCCTTGCTCTCTACTCTCTTTTTTTAAAGAAAGATCAAATCTTTCTTTTTAGTTTTTAAAATCAGTGTAAGCCATTATATTTTCTGCAGTTTGCATTTTTTGAAACATATGTATCTTTTTTAGCAGGAGTCAGTAGACTTAAGAGCATTTACTGGTCTTAGCAGAAAATAGTTGGTCATGGTCAGACTGTAACTGCAGGGTTAATCACAAGAGTGAGGAGGAAGGTGTCCTCACTTCACGATAGGAGTACTCAGGAAACAGAAGAAATTTTCCCATCCCTAGAATGGATGTGGGATCTTGTCTTGATCCTACATGAAAAGCTCTTCTCAGTAAAAATGGTCTGCTGCCTCTTGAGTAACTGGATTGCTCTTGAATAGGCTGACTGAGGATGACTCATCGAGTGATGAGGGGTCCCAGGAGCTCGAAGAGTCCATCAAAGTGGACCCTGTTCCCACAGAGCCCCCAAGCCATGGCAGCACAACCTCATATAAGAAGTCTCTTCGACTCTCTTCGGACCAGATTGTGAGTCGTGTGTGATACATGTGGATCCAGTCAGCTTGTTTTAGTAACTGTTTAATTGGACATGCTTCCTCTTCTGTCCACACTATCCCAAGCCCTGCACGCAAGACATGGTGGTGTGTGATTGTATAAACGCTCACATAAAGTAGGACGGCATCTCCCACCGCTGGGGACCACCTGGGGAACCTGGGACATGGCTTCTTTCTCCACCCTAGATTTCCACTTCAGTCTCTCAGAATGAACCAAGGGATCTGTATTTTAACCTGTTTCCTAGATGACTCTTACACAGCCAGCCCATTTCTGAGCCATATACTGTCTTTTAGGATCTACAACAACAGAGAAAAATGACATTTTCTTATTTAGATCCAGTTTCCTCTTTCCTGTTTATTTGTCACTCCTTTTCCTCTGTTTTCAGTTTGAGATGGTCTTGCCCCTAGGGCAGTCTGGTTGGAGGAAGAGCCAGAGACATTTGGTTTTTTAGGTGAAACCAGAAAAAATCTCTTAGAATTCGAGAACATCATTCAGGCAATAGCTCCCTCAGCTTCTTGTGAGCAAGCTGTATGTGCAGCACTGGCTGGATGTGTGCCAGCATAACAGAAACCATCCTGCCTTGAGCTGAGGCCCTGAAACACTGGTGGGGATTTTGTAAATATTCAGACTCTCTTGCAAGCTCTATGGCTGTATGTCTTTAGCTGATTTTTTTTATTTTATTACAATAATCTGATTTATGTATTTCTTTCCATTCTTTATATGTCCCCCTCCACCCACACACACACACACACACACGTACATACTTTAGAGATTAGGGTCCTTTTTCACTTAACATTATATCTTAGCAATCTCTCAATGACTATTGGAAACTGACTTTTATCTGTTTTTATGTAATTTCATCAAAATGACATACCGTTAATTTTCAAAATCATTGCTCTATGATTTTCTTATTCTTTTACTTTTAATAAAAGGCAAAACTGAAGCTCCAAGATGGCCCAAATGATGTCGTGTTTAGTATTACAACCCAGTATCAAGGTACCTGCCGCTGTGCAGGGACCATTTACCTGTGGAACTGGAATGACAAGATCATCATTTCTGATATTGATGGGACAATAACCAAGTAAGCACGAGCCTGTGGTGGGCGGCCATGGGGGAGGTGAGGGGCCCCATTGCAGAGAGGGTTGAGGGTAAGGGATCCCTCCGTGTCAGGAAGGTTTGTAAACTATACACACTGAGACTCACATGCTGAGATCACACATGGTCATACACAGGGCCATGCTGTGGTTAGAGAAGATGAGTGGAGCCATACAAATTAGGATTGAGGGTAACTTTTGGAAAGATTCAGTTATGTGGTCCCCAAGTTCCAGCATTAAAAAATTTAAAGTAAGAAGATGTTGCAATTAGGGAGGAAGAAAAGAAGATGTGTGGTTATAAATTATCTCTGAAAAGGAACATCTGGCTTCTTCTTTTTGAAGTTCCTCCGAGGGTGGGTTTGCAGGGAACTGCCACACTGTTGCATAAGCCATAACAAAGTTGCCCTTGTAGATTAGATCGTTCCCCCAACCCTGCTGCTACCCTATGATTTTTAGCAGCTGGTATTGAACTAGGCTCTATGTGCTTCATTCCTGATACTTTTTCGTATTTCTCCCCTCTCAGATCTGATGCTTTGGGCCAGATTCTTCCACAGCTGGGTAAAGACTGGACTCATCAGGGTATAGCAAAGCTCTACCACTCCATCAACGAGTAGGTGTCTTGTCCCACATGTCCCATGTGCTTGAGTAGCCTCACAAAGAAAAGTGCCAGCCACCATTCATGAAGCGGTTGCTGTTACACGTCTCACCCGTCTCCTTTCCACCTCACAGCGTTACGAGTTGGAGGCACCACATGCTTCTACAGTTCTAGTTATCCTTTAGGGGCTTAGCTTTAACTTAACAGGAGAGCCAGTTTTCATTTTGGTTTTATTAATTGGGTTTTTTAAAAACCTGATTTCATTGAGTAGGTAATACATGCATGCATGGGGGAGACATTTTGCCCATGTGGTCCTCTCTGTTGGGGCAACAGGAAGACAGTGCTGTGGCTTTTGTGGACCATGATACATATGAGTTAAGTTGATTGGGAAACTCAGTGTCTTAACCATTAGTTGAAAATGCCCATAATAGGAAAATTGTGTATCTGTTCCCCAGGGATGATTTTGTTCCTTTTTTTACAGAATGGTTTGCATTTTACAAATTGTCTTTATAAATAAGATCCTTTGCAACTTTCCTTTATGGCAGATAGTTTAAAGGTAGTCCAAGATTTTTGTTCTGTGACTTGACTTTTGTGGACTAGATGCTAAAGATACATCAATACTTACGAATTTAGCAAATGCCTGGTTGTATATACCTCCCTGTTTCCCCGCGGTGTTTTCCATGATATCTTTATAATCTTAACTGCTTTCCTTATTAAATTCAAGAATTTGATTTTCACAATAAATGAAAAGAACTGTATGTGGATCTGTTAAAAGAATAGTGCCTTTTTTTTTTTTTCTTTAACTTTGACGAAAGGATGCTTCTAAACAGGACATGTTGTCTTTCAGGAATGGCTACAAGTTCCTATACTGCTCCGCACGTGCCATTGGCATGGCTGACATGACCCGTGGTTACCTGCACTGGGTCAATGACAAGGGTACCATCTTGCCTCGGGGCCCTCTCATGTTGTCCCCCAGCAGCCTGTTCTCTGCCTTCCACAGGTACCTCTCCTGCATGCACACTTGTATGTCCACTCCCTGGGGGGGAAGGGGCCTGAATGGGGAGGTGAAAGGTCAAGCTCACTGTAAGGGTTTGTATCTGATTCTGAGCTTCTGCATCTCTTGGTTCTTGGCTCCCCCAGGGCACTATAACCCTGAGCTCACCCAGTCTGTGTCAGACATCATCCAAAAAAGTCAAACTGTCAAAGCTTTCTCTATCCCTAAACCCCTACACTCGGAATCTTAGTCTGTCTTAACTGGCACAGAAGGAGAGAGAGAGATACCAGTTACAAAAGGTTTTTTTATATGATTGGGAGTACTGACATCTTTTCAGGATCGCACACCAGGGAAAGCTGCCATTTTTATTTGCTCATTGTATTTGTATTTTTTTTTCCCCTTAGGGAAGTGATAGAAAAGAAGCCAGAGAAGTTCAAAATTGAGTGTCTAAACGATATCAAGAATCTGTTTGCCCCATCTAAGCAGCCCTTTTATGCTGCCTTTGGAAACCGTCCAAATGTAAGTGTCTCCTCTGAACTTCACATTCTGATGAGGGTAAAATTCATAGGACTGTAGTTTTTAGGGTATAGCCATGTCCTCATTCTCAAACCAAGTATATAAGCGAAATGAATGTTCTGCTAAATGGTTTTCATGTATCTGTTCCAAATTTCTGCCATTGTGGGGAGGTCTTGTAGGTGGATGCCTGCCCTAGAGTTTTGGTGAAAGAAAAAGGGCACCTTGTTTCTCTAGATTTGATTCATCTCCTCAGGTAGCTCTGACTCATGTTCTAAGTGGTTCTAAGCTGTGTCCTTAGATCCACCCCACAGAGTGCTCAGCCTTCACTAATGCTTCCCAAACCTGCTTCCCCACAGACGGGGCTCTCCATTTCCAGAGGGTGTTGCTCTCTGGCCTCTGGCAGGCAGCAGGCATCTCCTTCTCCAGGGCCCCTGGCCTCTGCTCAGCGCCCAATTTACTGACTCTCTGAGCGCCCTTGCATTGGGCTCCACTCTTCAGTTTGGGTTTGTTTAAAGCTCAGTTTCAGTGGCAGAGCTGCACTGTGCCAACTCCACATGTTTTCTGTAGACAGTCATCTGTGCAATTCTCTGGCTCACAAGGAACCAGAGAAGCATCTCCTAATTTCTTCTCTCATAATAACCCTATTTAATGTTTTCTTGTCCAGGATGTCTATGCTTACACACAAGTTGGAGTTCCAGACTGCAGAATATTCACCGTGAACCCCAAGGGTGAATTAATACAAGAAAGGACCAAAGGAAACAAGTCCTCGTAAGTGTGTTCTTATTTCTCAGTCCACCACCCTGCAGCCAGGGTGAAGTTGGAGATGGAGAATCTGAGGATCCGACCCCACTCGAAATATCGGAGCTATACCTGCCTTTGGGAGGCTTTCCTCTTTGCCTGGGTGTTTTCTTGTCTGTAATAGCAGGTATAATAGGATCGCTACGATCCTAGACTCTGAAGAGGAGGGCCATGCACCGGGAAGGGATGGCTGGCTTCTCAGGTGCCACTGCTCTGAGGAGCCTCAGTAACTGCTTCCCGGCCTTCAGTCTTGTGCCCTCACCTGCTTCAGAGGGGCAGTTTATGCATTTCTCCCCAATCCCTTCTCCTAGGTACCACAGGCTGAGCGAACTCGTGGAGCACGTGTTCCCACTTCTCAGTAAGGAACAGAACTCTGCCTTTCCCTGCCCAGAGTTCAGCTCCTTCTGCTACTGGCGGGACCCGATCCCCAAAGTGGACCTGGATGACCTGGCGTGAGGTGACACCTCCAGGGGGAGGTCCTCAGTCCCTCACCTCACAGCAAGGGAAGGTGACCAGCGCTTCTGCTGGGCAGAGGACATTGGGCAACCCTGCAAGCCACAGGTGCAGGACGAGACCCATGTGGATGGCTGGGCACCAGCAGGCACTGGGAGAGTCCTGGAGCTGCAACCGTGGTCCTCCTTCCCCTTCCCAGGCCTGGTAGGGCTGTGACCCAGTGCCCTGGCCAGGGTTGGAGGGGAGGGGGGTAGCGGAGGAGCTCGGACCTGCGGTCGGAGGCCTGGGCTCCTAGTGCTGTGGTCCTCATACACGTGCTGTGTCAGGTGTGTGCTGGTGCTCCTTAAACTGAATGATTTAAAAGGAAGAAAGAAGCTGAGAGGGGACCAAAACATGTATACAGTAAAGTGTTATAATTTCCACTGGGCAGTTGAGAGTGTTTCTCTCTACAACCAGGGCTTTCTTTAGGCAATCAGGGTCCACTGAGCTGCTTCAGGTCCAGTTAGTGACATGGTTCAAACCACCTGTGCACATTTCTGCCGTGGGCTCTTTCTTCCGTACCACAGGGAAACAGGACATCTGCTTGGGTGGGCTGCTCCCAACGGGGCCTGGGTCATGAGTCCCAGTCCCCCAGATGGGGGCTTCTGGAGAAGAAGAGCCCCTTAGCTCATTGCCTTCTCAACTGTGACTAGCCCGGAAGTTGTCTTGGACCTGGTTAGGCGAACAGGTCTTGCCGTCTGTTTGGTGCCTGTAAGGAGAGCACTGATGGCAGACATTGATTGGACAAGCTACAGCTCGGTTTTCAGGGAGGCCTTAGCAATGCAGATCTGCACTCTTGTGGGGTCTTGGAAGAGCCTTTTTCCGTGTCCCTCTGCCTGCAACTCTCTCCCAGCCTGGGTGTAATGAGTCAGCAGTCCGAGCAGACCCCACCAGGGGTGGGCCTGCCCCGTCAGCCCCTCCAGGACTGAGAGGCTGGGTGGTGAGGGTCAGCTCCGTGTTGGAATCCAGAGGACTACTGGAGAGGAGGCACACATGCACACAGGCCTTGGCCGCGGTCAGCCAAGTCCAGGGCAGAGAGCGGGAGCTGCGGGTCCAGACGCCCGTGGGGGCGGCTTCCTGTCCACCTCCACTTGCCCGGCCCACGCTGTGGTGCTCTCCTCGCACTCCTCATTCCAGTCCACCTCACTCGGGTAATACTGACCTAGAGATGCAGAAGGGGGGTGGTTATTTTTCCAGACTGGAGAGTTGGAAGCCCTTTTAGTCCGGCCATCTGTCCTAGTGGATACGGAGGTGATGGCCCAGCCCTCTGAACACAGTGCTCAGTGGCTGAACATGGCAGCGCGTACTCCAAAGGAGGAGCGACAGGTGCTGCTTCCAGCGCATGCACCCCACCTTTCACAGTACGAGGACTAGTCATTGAAAGAGTTTATGTACAGTAGGTTAGGCAAACTAGGTTATGCTTAGAGGAAGTTGTGCCCAGTTAGTGAATTCAGCAGTGCGGGCCTCCCAGACTCTCCACGTTGGTTGCACAGGAGGAGCCTGAGCTTTTGTGCTGAACCTCAGCTGCCAGGGCTTCTCTGCATGCTGCGGTACAGGAATCTTCTTGACTTCTGTAGTCCTCTATAGGCTGTCCTTTAAAGAGTTTTTGATGAGACAGTTTCTTTTCCTTGATAAACTCTTCTCTGTGGACACATGGGCCTCGTAAAGGTCCCGCCCAGGAGCCCAGCCTGCCAGCCCCTGCCCAGGGCAGCTGACCCCTCCGGCCCTGTGTCCATAAGCACTAGACTTTGTCGTTTTTGTTGCTGCAGGTTGATCCAGTGGGTACCTTTGCTAATTAATGTGAGTCTTTTTCCTTATTTAAAGGAGTCCCTCTTGCTGAAAGTAGATGATTACTATCACTCTAGTGTTACAGAAGTATTAAGTTTGTGCTGAAACCCATTGCCATTTGGTACAAATGACATTTGTTCTTTCTGTGAAAGAGAGTTACCCTCAAGTGTGTTTGTACACCAACCCTTCCCATGGTGAGTTACTGAAGGAGCCCGAGCCTCGTGCTGCTTTCGGTGATCGGCGGTCTCGTGGGGTGATCGCCGGCGGATTGGGCTTTTCAGAGTCATTGTTTTGGTTGGTCTACTGCTGCAGTGGCCTTGGCCCCTTTCCCACTCTCCAGTTCAGCCCGACTTGAGTATATGCCTTGATACCCACGTGCCGAAGCTTGTGTGGCCCTGGCGCCAATGTCTGCATCTCCAGCAGGCGTTGGGACGTGCACGTGCAGGCCCGGAAGCATGCACACTTAGCCCCCGTGTGAGAACTGTTTGCTGTGCTCAGAACCATCTGCATAGTTTTCAGCTGGAAAAGAAAAAAGTTACAGGGTGATGTCCTAAAATGAAAGCTGCTGACAGTCGCAGGGAGAACAGCTGAGGACCCATAGCCAGCGACACAACCAGAAGGTGCCTGTGTCCTGGAGGCACATGTGTGGCCCTTCTGGGCTCTGTTCCCGAAGGTGCAGGCAGGACCTTTACAAACAGATAGTAAATGCTTTCTCCTTCTGCTAGTTGGTGAAAACAGCCTCTTCCAGGGAATTTTAGCATCTTTTTAAGTATCTTGTTTACTCTGGGAAGCCTTGTTTTCCTATTTTAGAACATGCTGTGTTTAATGAAACTGGTTAAAAGTTGAGTTTTTGTTTAAGTGCTCTTTCCAGGTGAAAACTACTTTTTTGGTTTGTTTTGACAGTAAGAAAGGGAGGGGGGAATCTTTGTTGTTTTAATTTAATAATTACAGTTAGTCTATGATGAAGTATTCGATTCTTAGCAATGCCACTAATAAGTTTTAAGTTGTCAGGAATTGTGAACATCCATACGGTACTCTTGGTCCTGGCAAAGACCGTTACCCTGAGATAAATGGCTCATATTTTGGTGCAGTGTTTGATGTTCAAAACAAGATGTTATAACAATAAACAAACGTAAACCGAATGCATTTGACTCCTTCCTTTAGAGGACATTTGAACCATCGTCTCTGTACTCTTGCCAGAAATTGGTAATTTCCATAAATCAGCATTTTGATCTTTGCTGACACTTACATTCGTCTACAGAAAGGACTTCTTTTTGGTGCTTGTTTTCATAAAACCTGATTCCAAAAGTGAGGCATTGCCCACGGGAACGAACCTCTCTTGCTTTGTAGGCTCTGCCAGAGAGTGATTCATTCATACATAGTGATTCCTGGGGTGTTCTCGCTGCACGCTCTAGGCTGGGTCCTCACACCCCCTCAGCCATTCAGGCCTCAACCCCTGGGAGGCCTGCTCAGAGCTGTTGCCACCCCCCCTTTCCTTAAACCCTCTCTCCAGGTGAGTACCACCTAGCAGTTCTGATGCTCTCAGCAGCCTCGGAGACTCAAAGTGATCTTGAATCAAAAACCACACCCCACATGCTATTTAAATGAGTATCTTTTCCCCTCGGATTGCCGGACTCTACCACACGCAGCATATGCTGGACAGGAATCCCAGAGTCCTCCTTGAGAGCCTGCCTTCCAGTAGGGAAAGCTTTCCATGTTGTGCTGCTTTGCCTGGATGTGAGCAGCGTGAGGGACCATGCTCCTTGGGGTGTACTTAGGGAACAGAAAGATGCGCTCAGAGGGCAGTTGACTGTAGAGGGGCCAGCTTGCAGTGGCACCGCAAGGGCTCATCCCTGCAGCTAAGGGTGTAGCCTGCCTGTTTCCTTCTTTGATCGGACAGTGTAGGGGAAGAAGGTAACATGTCCAGAAAGTGGGTGCAGATGTACATGAAGCCATGTTTTAGATCTGCAAGCATGGACTGTCTCTCTAATCATAAACACTCAAATTTCAGTCGTTAGAAACCACAGGACTGAAGATGATGGTAGGGCCACTGAGAAAGCTAGATTAATGCACTACCATGGAATGAACTGCAAATGCAGTGTGCACTGATTTGCATTTTTTAGTGCTGGTGGTATTATTCTGTTCATTTTTTTTTTTTTTTTTTTTTTTTTTGAGACACAGAGAGAGGCAGAGACACAGGCAGAGAGAGGAGAAGCAGGCTCCCTGCACGGAGCCCGATGCGGGACTCGATCCCAGGACTCCAGGATCACACCCTGACCCAAAGGCAGACGCCCAAACAATGAGCCACCCAGGCATCCCTCTGTTCAACATTTAAATGAGGCCATTTGTTAATGTTCCGTGTGGGGGAGAAAAAAATGTCCCAGTCCTGTCTCTGCATAAGTGCATGCCTTGACCTTTTTCTTGGCAACAGTGCCTTTGAGAAGTCCTGTCCTGGTACCTAAGTCCTCGGCACGTAGCTTCAGGCCTGTGGACACTGCCTTTCCAGCTGTTGAGCTTTTGTCCCCTTTGGCACTTGTAAGAGATTGTTAGGAGGGGGTGTGAAGCAGAGAGGGTGAAAGTATGTGCATGTGCCAACTGGGTTTTCCTGAAAATGCACCACTGTGTTGGGCTTTTCCATGAGTCATTTGTAGGACAGTCACCTTTAGCCAATTCCCCAGCTGTAGAAACAAGGAAAGAGAATGCCCTCCCCACCCCAACTCCTAGACAGAGATCCAGATTTTGAAGTCCTAAAACTGCAAACCTGCAGTTCGTGGTCATGTCTCCCTACCTGGAGCAGGGGAAGGAGAAAGAAGGCCCTTCTCTGAAGTGTCCAGCAGCCATTGTGTTATCTCATTTGCAAGCATTCCTGGAAACTCAGCATTTTTATAGCATCACGGTATCCAGTGGCTTGAGTTCAGGCTCAGGAAACTAGTTTCTCTGATGCGCATCTTTCCCTGGGGCTCTAGGGGGTCTTGCCTCCCTGGGGGCACTTGATTGGCCAACAGATTTTACCAACCCGATGAGCAGAGCCTACGTGAAGCTAAGGGTCTTGTGTCCTAGAGGTTTCTGTGGCTGCTGATAAAGGAGCAGCATGCCTGGGCTTCCTTGGAACGGAACGTGCTCTCCATGGGAAGATTCCTGCTTTTCTGCGATGATCTCAGCTTTCAGTGTGTGATCAGTTTTATGTTGGGGCTGTTGTTGCCTGGGAACCCGGGAGTCCTTAAAGCCGCATCTGCTATGAGCTGTGTAGTGAGCAAGCAATCTCGTTAGCTCGGGCAGCTGCTGATGAGATGTGAAGTTTAAGCATCCCCCAGAGGAGCCCCTCTTTAGCTGCGGGGAGCACAGGGCGGGGGGCCTTGACCTTCAAGTTCATCTGGTTTTTTATAAGCAAAAAACTCCCCAAGTGTATAGCTTAGATAGTGAGGGATAACAATTATATGGTTGAGACTGATTTATTCCAGCTCACTTTCTACAGGCATTTAAAACTCCTTACCTTTCTGCAGCTTTTTAGCAACAACTCTCAATCCATAAGGCACAGACTTCAGTAACTTGAAGTGGTTTTACATCTTTATTGACACTCCCTGTCTTTGCACTTAGGTACACGTCATTCAAGGAGGCCCCCCCCCCCCCCCCGGTTGCACAGCCTCCTGCACATGCCTCACAGCTGGGCAAAGGCCTGGAGTGCGCATGGCCCCCAGGTCTCTCTCAGTGGTGGCACGTGCCACTTCAGTGTTTAAACTTCTGTCCTGCAGGTGGAGTAAGTAAAGACCGAGGCCACAGGTGCGGCTCACCCGCCCTCGTGCCCTCAGCCCTGCAGCCCAGCGGCTCTCCCTCCTCCGTCAGCAGGACGGGGCGGCAGGTTGCACCCCCCAGTTGGCAGTTGATCGGCCAGGGAGGACCCCACTCCTCAGGTGGCCAGTCGGAACGACAGAAGACAGTGGCCCCATTGGGCACACGTGTCCTTGCCCCCTGCCTGGGGACGCTCAGGCCTGTATCTTAGGGGAGGTGTGGGGAGGTTTGCGGAAAACTAGACCAGTGCTCCAGTTACATACATAATAAACTGCATATATTAAAGCTTCCGAAGTCCTCACAACTAGTTCCCCGTAGCTCGCCCCAGCCACCCTAGAGGGGAGAGAGGAAAGGATACAAGAAAACCCCACTAAACGTGGAGTACATTTCGTCAAAGTCTGTGTGGGCCAAGCGGCCCCCAGTCACCACAATGTTGACGCCATCTCCTGCCTTCAAGTGCACGACGAGGTGGAATGCGCCCGGGCCCCCACAGGTGTGCAGGCCCCCTTGGGGCCGGTGGTATTCCAGGAACTCCCTCCTGTAGCCGGCTGTATGCAGCTGGGCCACGCTGGCATTGGAGACCGACAGGACGGCTTCCACGTATGCGTCCCTCTCAGGAGTCAGGGTGGCTGTGATGAGGTAACGCCCGTCATACGGAGCCGTGAAGATCCCTGGGAGGAGAGAGGCAGACACTTGTCCTGTGACATCACAGCACCTTGGCGACAACTTATCTGTTAACCCACGTTCGGGAGACCAACCATTCCTCTCTGTCCAGGACTGCCCCGGAGACCAACTGGGAGAGTTGGTCACCAGACCCGCAGAAGGCAGGTTGGCCCGAGGGGGGGTGGGTAGCCCCTTTTGATACTTGCAGCTGCCTGACACCCACCCAGTGACAGGCCCACCCAGTGCACAGCCCAGGTGTGAAGACAGAGGGCTGAGGCCAGCCCGGGCCCATTTCCCCCTCACCAGCCAGGTCCTGGTTACCATTTGGGAGTTTCCTCCAGCATGGAAAGCGCCCCACCAAGGCCAACATAGAATAAGCCCCACAACTTGTGTGCTGGGTACAAAATCCACAAAACGTTTGAGTTGCCTCCTGAGGACACAGGACCAAAAAGAACCCACAAAGCTAGTCACTAACCCAGGGAGAGACCACACGTTCCCTGTATTGGACCAGTATACAGGTGGCGCCCATTTATGGCCACAAAGAAGCTGGCATTCATTGAGCCAACGACCCACAGGCCTGGAGAAGCCGGGGAAGGGGTATTTGGAGGCAGGCGGCACAGGGAAGAGAAGATGGAGTTGCAGATGTACCATCTGCCAAGTGGCAACTGGGTGCCCCCGAAGCCAGAAGGTCAGAGCCCACAGGAAGTACTGGCAGGAGCTGGGCGGCGGGGGGGGCCTAGACACAGACCCTGACCACAGGCCGAGAGTGACAGAATGGAGGGCCCAGGGACTGAGAAGGAATCCCAGGGGCTGGATCTTCAATCTTCCCTGAAAAATCGAAGATGCCGGCCATCCTACTCTTAGCCCGCTTGGAATGCTGAGTAATCGGAGCTCCACAGCCTTCCCGAGGCAGCTCGACCCTGAACAAGGCCTGGGCCCCTGGCCTCTTCCCCTGCTTAGAAGCTGCCTGTGTGGGGAGTCCGCACTCGGGGTCCCCCAGAATTTCCTTTAATGAGGACTCACTCAACGAGAGGCTACAGTTCTGGGCTGGGCGTCCCGGAATGTGCAAGAAACGTCCGCCACCGCCCCTGCTTGCAGAGATCGCGTGACCTGTCGGCGTGGAGCAGTGCCCCCAGGCAGCATGGGGGCAGGGCCCAGGAGGAGGCTGCACTAGCTAGAAAGTAAAGGTCTCTGAAAACAAAGGCCCTTCTGGCCCCCTGCCTGCCTCTGTGCCTCGAAAGCAGGTTAAAAATGCAGAATCCTGGGTCACCTGGGGGGCTCAATGGTTAAGCGGCTGCCTTCAGCTCAGGTCATGATCCCAGGGGTCTGGGATTGAGCCCCAGGTCAGGCTCCCTGCTCAGCGGGGAGTCTGTTTCTACCCACCCCTCTCTCCGCCCCTCCCCCACCAACTGTACTTTCTCTCAAATAAAAGAAAGAAATAAAAAAGATTTTAAAGTCCTGAGCTTGACTCCAGCTGGCCTGGAGGACACGGAGTTCCATTTTTCCAAGTTCTGCAGGTAATTTTTATGCTCACAAAAACTTAAGAGCCACTGTCCTAGGAATAGGTGGGATTTGCTAGATGGTGGCCACGCAGGGCAGATGAGAAGGTGAGAGCTAAAAACTGCCGAGAGGGCCCCCCACTGCCCTTGCCTCCTCGTCACCTCCCTGAACTCCCACCCTGCAGCTCCTTGGGAAGGACTCGGCACCGCAGGGTGCTGGTGCCCGACGGGCTCAGAGACGGGCTGCTCCGAGGTGTGGGGCCACTCGAGACAGGCCCCCGGCTGCTCTGCCCCATCCTACCCCAGGGCTGCCAACGGGTTGGGCAGGGAAGTGGGGCCCTTCATGTAGGAGGCAGGAGGCCCACAGCTGGCCTCTCTGGAAGGCGGAGTCCAGTCCCCAGGGACAAAGATGGACAGAAGCCTAGGCTCAGGTGTGGCGGAAAGGAGGAAGTCCTTTACGGCAGCAACCCAGGGTGACATCTGTTCTCACTACCCTTGGGCTGGTGGACAACACACGCCAAAGGCAGAACCCAGGCCTGCAGCTCAAGTGGTTCCAGAGCAGGGGACCCCACAAGCGGGGTCTGGCGCCTTCTGGAAGGACTGCTGTCCCCTTTTTTGGATCTGAAGGTGACGGGGCAGGGGGCTGGTCTCCTGTCTGTCCCGTCCCGTCCCAGGGTGTTAGGACAATAGATCCGGAGAAAGAAGGCCATTCGATGGCTTGGAGGAACAGCGGGGAGGGCCACAAACCAGTGGAACAAGGCTTCCCACAGCAAGTGCCGGGGGCTGGTCCACTGATCTCAGGCTAGAGGGCAGGACGTCCCCACGTGCTCCCCGCCCACCCTGCGGCCTGGAGCTGGAAGCTTCTCCGTGAAGCCCCACAGAGTGGGGATAGCAACAAGGGCCAGTTGGTCTGCCGTGCCCACGGCTGCTCAGGCATCTCCCGTGGTGCCCCACCACCCCGGCCCCAGGCGCGGGAACCAGCTGGGACCCCGCCAGTCTCGGAGCCTACCGGTGTCGGGGTCGTACACATCTCCATCGTTGACCAGCACTTTGTTGAAGAGGACGACACCCCCATCGCTGGGGAAAGGCTTCTGGGTGAGCCCCGCGGAGAAAGCCACGAGAGCGGGCACCGGAGCCCCTGTAGCCCAGAGGATGAGAAGGTGGTCGGGGTCAGAGGTCAGGGCCCAGAGCACGGAGACCTGTGTGCCCGTCGGGACAGGCAGCCTCACCGAGCTGTTGGCTTTAAGGTGGTAAAGCGCCGTGGGGCATGTGGGGCACGCACTCCTCACCCCCAAGAGCCAGACCATCCTTGTGAGGTCGGGACATGCACCAGCGGGGGGGACGTGTGCACCCTGCACCGAGAGGCCGGCCGTGTGACACCGCGTGGGGGGGTTGGGGGGGCACGGCCGCACCAGGCCGATGCAGCCAGCCCCCCCCCCCCCCCGCCAACTCCGCCAGCCAGCACAACCTTGTCTGGCCGGGACGCTGACCCTGAGGAGCAAAGCTCGGTGCAGTCAGCAGCGACTCCCCTCAGCTGGGGGACCCCGGCTCCCACCCGCACTAACAACCCGAGGGAGGCGGCAGGACAGGCACCTGAGCCCCCACTGCTTCCCCCACAAACGTACCTGGGGCGGCCACCGGAGGGGCGCTGGGGTATCCTGAAAAACAAAATGGGAGTGGAATGTCCAGCAAGCCCCCCTTTTGCTCCCTGCCCTTCACACTATTGCTTTAGAGAGACCCGGAATGGGCACCTCCCCGGGAGCAGAGCGGTTCCCGGAGGGCCAGCCGGCTGACCGGAGGCTGGAGGCAGCGTCGGCCACTCCAGTGCACCGACGGACAAACGGACAACCGGTCCGACCCAGTATGAACGGCCCTAGCACGGAGCTGGGAGGCAGCGTCCTCGCAGGGAAGGCCCGGTGGCCCGGGGAGCACCTGGGCAGGGACAGAGACCCCCCCCACGCTGCCCCGGGGCCTGGGGGTGCTGTTGGGCCGCCCCCACGCAAAGGTCTGCACTGACCTCCTGCAGCCCACGTGACCTGAGCCTCAGCTGCCCCCTGTGACATGGAACTACTAAGTGTCCGTGACAGTGCTGTTGGGACAGCTCCAGGAGACCCGGCAGCTCCAGGGATCCCAGCGCCATCCCCTGCCCCCAACAGCAGCTCGCAAGGAGCCCCCACCGGCCAAGCACCCAACAAGGCTTTCCTCCTTCACCCTCACAGCCGTCCCCCCCACCCCAGCTCCTGTTACCCCCCACTTTGCCTGTGACGGAGCCCTACAGGGGTTACGAGGCTGCCCCAGGTCCCAAAGCTTGTGGTCACATAGCTTGATTTGAGCCAGAACCTTCTAGCCCACCCACTGCGAGGGGTAGTGTATCTCTGCTTCGCAGGCTCCAGTCCACACTGGTCTCCCAGGGGCACTTCCTGCCTGGAGGACGGCCGAGCGTCCCAGCCCATGGGAGGCAGTGTTCACTGCACCATCCCTGGGGGTGCCCCAGCCTCTGGGGGTCCAATTAGCATGAACTCATCCCTCAGCACCCCTGGAGAGCTCCTTGCTGGAACCCACGCCCAAGAAGCCCCTGCAGTCGACCCCTAAGGCTCAGGCTGCCCCTCCACGTGGTCTCAGGCCCCCTCTCAGGCCTCACCTGGTGCTCCCGCGAAGCCTTCGGCGCTGGGGATGGGCCCCTGCCCGGTCTGGCCATCCACGCCTTGGAGCAGGCCCCTCCCCGACACGCCCATCCTCCCTGGAGGCCCGGCCTCGCCAGTCTCCATCATGACCCCGGTGGAGCCGGGCAAGAAGGGCAGCCCTGCCCAGCCCGGCCATGCTGGCGGGGGCAGCGGCTTCGGGGGTCTCTGGGGCAGGACAGGCCGCTGGCCTGTGTGCAGCCGTTTCCTGGGGTCCTCAGGAAGCGGGGGGGCGCTGGGCCTCAGCAGAGGGGTCGGCTTGGGATGAGAGGCCTCCGTGGGTGCCTCCACCAGCTCCGGCTGCAAGGGCTGTCCAGGCGCCTGCGGAGCCTTTCCTGGGGGCGGGGGCACTTCAGGGGGCTCCTCCGCTGAGCATTTGGAAAGTGGAGAGAAACACAGGGTTAAAAAAGCCTCCAACCTGACTGCTCAGCCACAGGCTCCCCGTGAAGGTCTGTGTTTGGTGGCGGTCCCTGCAGCATCGACGGGTGAACACACAGCAGCCACCACAGCGTGGGGACAGCAGGCCTCAGAGCTTCAGAAGGTGGGCCACAGGTCCAGCTACCCTCAGGCCACCCAGGAGCCAGTGAGACGGTCTGGGGGTCCCCCTGTGCAGCGGCCAGGCTGAGGGGAGGATTCTCAGCCTTTCTACAGGATGGCTGCACTCCCCAGAACAGCACCGTTCTTGGCCTCACTTCCAAACTTCTGATTTCACCACGTGACGATACCATAGGTGTATCACCACTTACTGAGAGGGACCTGCTGCCCCAACCACCTTACGTTCTCTCAAACCAGCACATCCTGGAGTCACTATGGATGGTTCCACAGGCTCAGGCCCTGCCAAATGCAGATGCCACAGTGATCCCAGCAGGTGTCGGGGAGCTTGAGGCACCACTGCAGCAGGCACCGGGCCCAAAGGAGCAGCAACACCCCATGTCTCTCGCCACAGTCTTAAGATCACCAACTGAGGGGATTCCCACAGAAGGAACCTTCTGATTCACATTCCCTGCGCTCATGGGATGGCGCTGTGACACAGCCAGGAAGCTGCCACCCCCCCCTCCTCGGAATATGTTCCAGGAACCAGGCTTCCAGGAAGCCTGCCTGAGGGCCCACATGGCATCTAAAAATAAATAGGACCAGCAGATACCAGCCTCAAAAGCAAACCCCACCTACTCCTGCGGTCTGTATGGAGCCTGCCATGGTCAGGTTCCAAATCTATACGATTGTGTCCAGGCAAAATCAGTGATTGTATTTTGACCCGCTGTCTAGTTTTAAAACTCACTAAGGTAACGATGGGGATGAACCACATGCTTCCCTTCCACCACAGTGCCACACAGCTCACCCACCTCCAGCCCCAAACAGCCTTTCTTGACCAGCTCCGTGAGAGAATTAAGCCCTATGGAGAATGATTCCCCATTTTCTCAGTCATCCCAAGGATACTACAGAACTAACCCTTAAATGCAGAGAAGAGAATTCATGTTGTCCAATAGAACAACATCAGGCCTCAATTCTCTTCAGAACTCAGGTTGAGAAGGGCTGAGTTAGACAGAAACCGAGGCAGAGGGACTGCAGAAAGGCAGACATCAGCCACAGCAGAGGACAGAAATGAGAAAACGGTCTGGAAACACAAAGTCTATACATTGAATTAGGAGGCCCCCCAACCCGCTTTCCTGCTCAGCTCCCAGAACACTTACTTATATAGCTTAGGTTGGAGATAGGGAGAATCTTCATCCCATAAGGAAGCCCACTAGTATGAAATCTTATCCAGTGCCTCAACTTAAATGTGAACCACAGCCAAGACAACTTGATGTGCAAGGAAAGCCTCCAATAAGAAAAAAACCAAAACAGTCATCCAACTAACAAAAAGGAACTCTGAAGAAACACACAATGCAAGAAAACAAAAACATGAAACCCTTAAAAGAAACAGAAAACACCATCCATAGGCAAGGATAGATCGGTATTTAAAAAAAAAAAAAGGCATAATCAGAGAATAAGGATGAGCCTTTGCTAATAAAAATATGCTTGCCAAAATAAGCAAATAAAATGAACAAAAATCAAGGAAATCTTTCAGAAGGTAAAACAGGAAGATGAAATGGTAGACAACAGGAAGGAAACCATAAGAAATTAGTCAACCCAGAAATCTTCCCTGAAAAAAAAAGTCAGAAAAATTGGGACATAGGATGATGAGGTGATAAGGCGAGAATTATCAAATACACACACAATTTGATTCCAGCACAATTACTGATTAAAAGACCTAAACCAAGGCACATATTCAGAATACTGAGGCAAAGGGAAGATCCTAGAAGCTTTCAGGGGGGAAAATTTTTAAAAATGACTTCGAATCCAAAAGGCAGCATCAGGCTTCTCAACAGAAACCAGAAGACAAGGAAACAAAGTCTTCAAATTTTGAGGGAATAACTGCTCACCTTGAATTCTATACCCAACCAAAATATCCATCAAGAATAAATATTTTCAGACATGCAATATTTAAAACACACACACACACAAAACTATCAGGCCTGTTTCCTTAAAAAGCTTGGAAAACATGCTCCACTGAAACACGTAAACCATGAAAAAAAAAAAAAAAGACAACAATCCAAGACAGGAGAGGTTCAAGGATGGTAGTGAAGGAAGTTTCAAACTGAAAATCCTTTAGCAAGTCCACAGACTAAGCAGTCCAGATTGGATCAGAAGAGTGAGAACCTCAGAAGGGAGGTCATGAACTAAAAATAAAAGATAAAAAAATGGAACTAACAAATGATCTGGTACTTTTTATGGAATATAAAATTATGTTGAGAGGATGTCCTGGGATAAGAGGAATCCAAAATAGATACATAAAATCTAGCAAATAATAATGTAACACTGCTACTTATTCAAGGAAAAGCAAACCAAAAAGCAACATAATGATATTCAGCTATGTTGAACTACTTAGCTCATAACAGCTGAGTACTGATATTTTTTTAATTCAGTTATCATTAGTCTCAGATGTTTGACTACTGATTTTTCTGTAAATTCTACTGGGAGTTGAGAGAGGGAGGAAGCAGGGGAGATAGTAGTAATCCTAATATGTAAACTAATGCCTACAGCTGATACATAATATATAATGTCTAAGGACTATGTATGTAATATCTATATAGAAAGCTAAAATTAATGAATCAATTTAAAACTATAGAGGTAAATATCAAGGGAAGATAGCCCTCAGAGTTGCACACGGCTGCCTCTGGGGAGCTAAAAAAGTGCCAGGGATAGGTGAGAACAGGGGGCTGGTTTCATTGGAAGCCTCTCAGTTTATTTATTTTATAAAATGTAATCGCGGGAGACCCTCTCCGACGGCCTGTTTCTACCCTTGCCGTCACTCTGCATCTGCTCTTTCGAAAGCATTCTAGCCAGGGTCCCTGCTCAAAAATCTGCATAGTTTCGCAATGCTCAGGAAATCCCACCAAATCTCCTCTGACCTCCCGAGCCCTCCACCTGCTCCAACTCCTCCCGCAGCCACAGTGTCCTTCCTGGTGCCAGCCCTGTGCCAGCTTCCGTGCCTTCGTGCCTTTTCTTTTAATGACCACACTCCCTGAGCAGCCCCTTCCTGCAGCCTCACTGAAGTCCCGGCTCAGATTCTGCCTCCCCGGGAAGCCATCGTGGATCTGCCCAACAGAGCTTGAACAATCCTGCCTCTGAGCCTTGAAGCACTTTGAGCCTCCAAAGACTCTTTCAATTTTTAAACATTGTTCCTGTTGTACTGGGTGCTGAGCAGTGAGGACACATTTTCATATGTGTTACCCTCAGCTTGGCACAGGGCCCTCGCACATGACATGGAGACATTTAAGTGCTTGGTTTGGTGAATGAATGAAGGCTGCAAGGGTGGCAGGTACTATGGGCCGTGCCCTAATTCCTGCCAACCATCACACTAGGCTAATATTTTGCTAGAAGTAATTGTCACTTGGGGGGGCCAGTAGGGTAGTGCTGGTATGCAGAGACTGTGGCAGCTCTTACGTCCCTTACTCCCTGAGCACCTGGCTTGTCACACTGGTAGAAGGCAGAGGAAAGAGAATGAAAGCATTTAATGGAACCAATAGGCTGCACGGCTCTCCTTGGGGAGTGTGGCCACGCCTGCTGTGGGCCACCGACTGCTCCAAGCCACCTCAGCCAGGACGGTAAGGAGCAGGCTGCCGGGTCCAGGCATTTCTCCGGCCCCGGCACCCCCCCCCCCCAAGCAGGCTGCTGGGTCCAGGCATTTCTCCCCCCACCCCCGCCCCGGGCACTGGGTGTTTCCAAAACATATACATTTATTAGAAGGTTGTAACAAAGACTGGACAGCATTTTGTTCCTTCTGGAAAGATGACTCCTGGTGGCAGATGGCGTTCTGAGCTCAACACGTGTTTCTAATTCAGGGTGACCCCTTGAACTGCGCTCTCCCGAAGAGCCCAGTGTCGCTGCTGGGCGTCCAAGGCGAGAGGCGAAGGCAGGGGGGCCGGGCCCGCACGCCCGGTGCTCCAGTCCTCACCCGCCCCTGTGGCCTCACTAGAGCAGGCCTGGTCCCCAGCCCGGAAAGGCCGCCGCTCGGGTTCGCACTAAAAGCCAACGCCGGGGATCCCCAGGTGGCTCAGTGGTTTAGCGCCGCCTGCAGCCTGGAGTGGATCCTGGAGTCCCGGGATCGAGTCTCACGTCCAGCTCCCTGCGTGGGGCCTGCTTCTCCCTCTGTGTCTCTGCCTCTCTCTCTCTGTGTCTGTCATGAATAAATAAAGTCTTTAAAAAATAATAAAATAAAAGCCAACTCCGACTGTACCGAAGCGGAGGCCCGCAGAAGACACTCCCCACTCGTCCAGGAGCTGAGGCTGAGCGGCCAGGCTGGCGGCGGCCGCAGGGTGGAAGTCAGGGGCAAGGAGGGCCCTGGGGGGGGTAGGCGGGGGACAGACCTGGCCTCGCGTCGGGGCTGCGGGAAGGCCACGGAGCCCTCCCGCCTCGTGCGCCCGGGGCTCGGGCGGCCAGCCCTGCGGCGGCCTCCTGTCACCCGGGGCGCGGGGCTTCCCTCGCTGCGACCCAGAGCACCCGAGCCCCAATGGAGCCGGCAACCCCGCGAGCAGCGATCAGCGAGCGGCCGCACGGGCCCAGGGCCTCCCCCCCAAGGCCCTGGACCGGCTGCACGACAAGCCCAACCCAGAGGCCACGAGCTGCACACACAGCGGCGCCCGCGGGGCCCGGCATCTGCAACGGGAAGGAAGTGGCCATCACGGGATCTCGGGCGGGGGGAGCCTCCCCTAGCTGAGCCTCAACATCACTTGGGAACCTTCTTTTTTTTTTTTTGGTAGAATTTCACAAGCTGATTCTAAAATCCCGACGGAAATGCACAGGATCTCCGCTCCCTGGTTTTCAG